TTTAATCGAAAAATATCGGCCGACTCGCTATACATATTCTAATATGTTTTCGACTCAGCTGAGCTGAATTGAATTTAAAACTAAAATTAGTGAAATCTGAATTGAGTAGACAAAATATGACATTTGTATAATAATTAGGGTTATCGGTTTCAAAGAAACGAAAAACCCGAAGAGTTTGGTCCGGTTTGTCGGGTCGGTCTCAGTTAACCGAAAGTTTAGTTTCGATTTATCTGTTCGTCTAACCGAAAGTTCCCTACCTGCAATTCCGAAATTCTTTAAAAAATCATCATCTAACCATGCATATTTATAAAATTGACTGGGCCAAATAAGTAACGATTTTTGGGCAATTTTCAGCGGATAAAATCTGAAATTGAAGTTTTAAATTAGGCCCGCAACATTTTCTTCCCTCGCTTTTAAACGAATGTACACCTTGAAATAAAAAATAAACAAATTGTTTAAACAATTTCTGTTTACCCTCTCCTAATTTCAACTTTGGTAATAATTTAGTTTAGACCTCTTACTTTTTTCCTGTTTCACTGACCATTCTGAGCATTTGTGCTCGATCTATAATTTAATATATAGCATTTGAAAGAGCTCCTTGAGTTGAGTAGTGATACCCAAGATGGTTAGGTTTGGAAATTCTGGACAAAATTAAGAAGCTGAATCCTCAGTGAAAACTTTTTGTGTAGCTGCAAGGACTAAAACAAACGGTCTTAACTTTGTTCATTTAAGTCAGATTTCGTTGATTTTAGTACCATTCGACCCATCTCGAAGAGCTCTTTCGGGCAATCCTGAAGAATCTGTGAGACCCTCTAAAGATTGTTATTTTTTCTTCTAAAAATCATTTCATATAGATAATCGACAATGCTGAGCACGAATCTGGCACCAGATTCTGACAAATATAACATTTTATCTGATTTTTTTACATAATTTTTCATAAAATACATGATTTTTAAAAGTACATATTTGGATTAGAGAGGATAGATACCGCAAAGGGAACCAATCAAAATAGGGGGGTCTAAACCAAAGTATTACCTCAATTTTTTGAATTAAAGTTTAAAAGGATCCTAAAACAATTCAATAATTAATTTATGAATTAATCATCAAACAAAATTTTGAAAAAATAAACTTTAAATTAAATAAATCTACATAATTCAATCAACCTACACATTAAAAAATAATTTTTAATTAAAAATAAACATAAAAATTTTTTTAATCCCTTTAAAATTAAAAAAAAGTAATTTACTAAAAATACACAAATATAGAAAATCGAGTTATAAATAAATAAATAGAGAGAAAAATAAAAAAAGAAATAAAATGTTTTTATAAGCTGCCCGAGCTTTTGTTTGTGTCCAGCAGTAAAATAGAGAAAAATTAGGGGGGACTTGCGAGGAAAGAATTATTGATCTTCCCCTTCCCCCCCTTTTTTTCTATAAGTAAGAGAAGATTCGCATGGGAATGAATAGTAAGAAGGGTATCACGACTTTTGCGCCGAGAACATTTGCGCCGCGACTTTTGCGCCGCGACTTATGCGCCGGGCGACTTTTGCGCCGCGACTTATGCGCCGCGACTTATGCGCCGAGCGACTTATGCGCCGCGACTTTTGCGCCGGGCGACTTATGCGCCGCGACATTTGCGCCGCCATAAATTAAAAAAAATAATATCTACAGTCGGTCCTAATTATATTGTACTTCTTAAAAAATGGTATCCAGTAGCTGAAGGACTTTCACGAAGTACAATATTTCGGGAAGTACAATAGCCCCCTCTAATTAAGCGACCCCCTAGAGGAAGGTTGAAAAATAAACCGACCCCCTAGAGGGGTCTTCAATGGGTAAATGTCCAGCTCGCATTCTACCTTCTGCAAATGCAGTCCGCAAAGGCGTTCTGCAAGAGGCATTTTTGCTACATTCTCCTCCTTTTCTTCTTTCCCTTCATTTTCTTTGAGTTACCAAATGATTGGTTGACAGCTTGGCGTAATCTTTTGGGCGTTATTCATGAAAAAGATTTAATTTATAAATAATTATATAAAAATTAAAAAAAATATAAATTTATAATAAAGTTATAAAAAACTAAGCGGCAAATTGTTGGTAAAAATTTTGAGAAATTGGTAAACCAAGAATTCAGATTTTCTTCTGTATTAATATGTATGAATATTGTGGATATTTTGTGGTATTCGCGGATATTACATATCCGTATCTATGAACATCTCTGATTTTTAATATTTTATAAAATTCAACCCAGCCTAGTTAAAGGTTCCCTTGATTTACAACTTTATCATAAATTTATATATTTTTTTAATTTTTATATAATTATTTATAAATTAAATCTTTTTCATGAATAACGCCCAAAAGATTACGCCAAGCTGTCAACCAATCATTTGGTAACTCAAAGAAAATGAAGGGAAAGAAGAAAAGGAGGAGAATGTAGCAAAAATGCCTCTTGCAGAACGCCTTTGCGGACTGCATTTGCAGAAGGTAGAATGCGAGCTGGACATTTACCTCTTCAATGGACTTGACTTTTTCAAATCAGGATATTTGGTCTGCTACCGCTATTCAGGCATGATTTTCTGCCAAAAGTGAGTGCACTATAGTGTAGAATTGTCGGGTCCAGATATCCAGATCTGAAAAAAGCCGGATAGCCGAATATTTTAGGTAGAATATCGGATCCGGATCTTGATATCCGAAGATCTCTAACTATCCTACATCTTCTGTAGTGAGGTACGCTGTAGTTTTTCATTATATTAATGATATTGGCGGCGCAAAAGTCGTCCGGCGCAAAAGTCGCGGCGCAAACGTCGCCCGGCGCAAAAGTCGCGGCGCAAAAGTCCCCCGGCGCAAAAGTCGCTCGGCGCATAAGTCGCGGCGCAAAAGTCGCGGCGCATAAGTCGCGGCGCAAATGTTCTCGGCGCAAAAGTCACGGAACCGTAAGAAGGGGGGGGGGAATAAATATAAAAATAAAAATTTAAAAGAGCGAGAGGGTTATGCAAGCAATTGTAAAGAATTGAAAAAAGGGGAAAAATATAAAAATGTAATTAAAAACTAGAAATTAAAATTAATTTTACTCTTACTAATTAATTCTGATTTAATTTAAGCAAATCAATATTAAAAATAAAGAAAAACTAATTTTAATATAAGAAGAAAGTTCTTGTGTTTTTTCATTATCACAGGGTCAAAATTCGAAGAAAAAATTTCTCTTGTATAAGTTTAGGCCTAAGTACACTTTACCGGGGGATTTTAGATTTGAACAATTTATATGTCATTCGAAAGAGCTCGGCGAGCTGAGTCGAACGACACCAAAATTAGCCCGCGGACTCAACTGTGGGCCAAGATATAGGTCCCCAAAAATCGAAAAACCATAGGGAGGACCAAGCACTTTTTTGGGGGTGAAAAATTCGAATATGCGAATTATACCTCATTCGAAAGAGCTCGTCAAGCTGAGTCGAATAAGACCAAAATCAACGAAATCCGACTTGATTGGACCGAGATATAGACCCCTAAAAACCGAAGATCCAAAGGGGCGATTATTGGAATTAAAATTTTTTAACCATATTATAGCTCTTTCGAAAGAGCTCGACGAGCTGAGTCGAATGACACCAAGATCACAGTGATTGAACAAATTTAGACAAAGTTACAACACAAAATACAAGCAACATAAACCTATGGGGCATCGGCGAGGCGCTTGTGCAAAACCCCGCGCTTCGCGCGGGGTTTTGCGGCACGCGCCTCGCGGGGAGTCTACGGGCGCTGGGTCTGGGCTCGTAACATAAACTTATGCCTATTTTAGCTGCGGTCGGCATGTCTGGCTTCCTCCCCAGTAAGAAAAACCTGCACGTAGACCAAAGGTAAGGAGCTAAAACAAATGCTCATAACTTTGTCAAATCAAGTTAGATTTCGTTGATTTTGGTATCATTCGACTCCGCTCGACGAGCTCTTTCAAATGAGGTATAATTTGTATATTCGAATTTTTGACCCCAAAATCGACCTTACTCCCCCCTTTGGTTTTTCAATTTTCAGAGACCTGTAACTCGGCATATAGTTGAGTCCGCGGACTAATTTTGGTGTCATTCGACTCAGCTTGATGAGCTCTTTCGATTGACATATAAATCATAAAAATCTAAAATCCCCCGGTAAAGTGTACTTTAGCCTAAGTTTATTTTTAAGAAATTTAATCATCTTTCTAAAAATTAAAAGTTGCCTCTTGTCCACAATTACGAATTACGACGTTTTTGAGTTAGGAATTACGATTACTAAAATATCGGGAAAAATTACGAATTACTAAATCGGTAGTTTGTTATTAAATTTTCGAAGAAAAAGTGAAAGAAATATTGATATTCTCTTCCATTGTTCGTCTTGTTGATCGATGGTTCAGTGGTTTAGAAGACTGGCTTCTCTCACTTTGATATTCTGTAGGGCCGGGTTCGAATCCATGATTCTGAAATGAGATATTACAATTTTTTCTTCCAAAAATAAATGATTTTAAACTTTTATTTTGATTTTAAAATTGTAAATTTATTTTTTAAAAATTATTTTCAGTCTTGAAAATCGCTAAAAAATTAATCTATTTAAAAATTCTTAAAATTTTCGCCTTTGGCGGTAAAAAAGGGAAGAAATCTGGCTCTTAGTCTTCCAAAATTCTCAAAATTTTCGGTTGCAATGCAGAAAAGGAATTTAAGATTAAGAGGGATATCAATAGATTAAGAGGAAAATTACTTAACAAGGAACATTACTGTTGAAAAGTTGTAACGTCTATTGGATGTTTCATCACAATATTACGCTTTATTATTTCAATTATTAATATTTTTTTTTGTAAATTACGATTACGAAAAAAACTTTTCGATGACGACGCAACTCTGTTGTCCAGTATAAACATCTCCCATCATTTTATAACCAATTAGCGATATTTAGTTGAGTGATTGTAAAAATATTTATTGATTTACATATTTGTTTATCTTTAATTATTTTATTTTTAAATTTAATAAAATTTACTTAAAAATTTTTATAGAGAATATATGTAGTATTTAAAAAAAATGTCAAAGTTTTCATTAGCTTATTTGGGGATGCAATGTTTTTGGGGATCAGAATCAACATTTGCTTTATTGCCAGGCGTTTTAAAAACAAGAGTTGGGTATTCTGGAGGTACTTCTCCTTCTCCAACATATCAAAATATTGGGGATCATACTGGTAAGGAAGAGGGATGGGGGAAGGGGGAATGTCATGCTATATTATTTATTTTTTAAAAGAAATTGTCGAAATTCAATTTAATCCAGAATTAACAAAATTTAAAGAAATAATTAATTTATTTTATTCAAAACACAATTTTACTTTACCCCAAAAAACTCAATACAAATCTGTTATACTTTATGTTGATGAAGAACAAAAGAAAATAGCTTTAGAAGAATTGGAAAAAGCTAAAGTAATTTTTTAAAGTTTCTTTTTTTTAATTTTTAAAGGAAAAATATACCAACAAAAATACAATTTTTTATACTTTTTTACAAAAATTTGACAAATTTTATCAAGCAGAGGATTATCACCAAAAATATTGGCTTCGTTGTGAAAACGACATTTTTAAAGAAGTTTTGAAATATTTTTATTTAAATTTATTACCTCTTTTTAAGTTAAATTTAACAAATTCTCAATTAATTAATTCAACTTTGGCAACAAAAATAAATGGTTATTTAAGTGGAAATTCAAAAGAAGATTTTAATTTATTAAATATTTTACAAAAAGAATATAAACTTTCTGGTATTTTTTGAAAAAAATTATTTTTTTTAAAATTTATTTTTTTTAGATTCTTTAATTACAAAAATAAAAGAAATTGCAACAAAAGGTTTACAAATTTTTGAATAAAAAAGAAATTTGTTTTTTTTTTATTTTATTGTTAGGTGGAATTGGAAATTGTCATTAAAAGAAATTAAGTAAAAAGATGTTGAAAAAAGTAATTTGATATTTTTTTTTACAAGAATAATTAAAGTCTTTGTATTTATTGTTAGATGTAAAGAATTCAAATGTTGTCTTTTAGGGGGTTAACAGCAAAATTATTAAACTTTTTTTTAAATTTAAACTCGTAACCTCTTAAAAAGATTTTTTATTAAATTTTTACTTCAATTTTAACACAAAACAAAAATATCCAAAAATTCTTTTCAATTAATTTTCCTAAAAAAGTCTACCCACATTTATTTATCTATTTAAAATCAAGCAAACTTTTTAGCTTCTTCTTTAAGCGGCATCGGAAAAGGCATAAATTCTTCTTGTTGACCCAATTTAGCAGTCATTTCTTTTACTTTTCGACGTTCCTCTGCCTGTTCTTCATCATATTGTTTCTTTCTAAAAAAAGAATTTTATCTCAATAAAATTTTATTTAAAAATTAACGTCATATTCAATTCCTCCAATAAAGCCTCGGCAGGCTTTCCTTCAGACAATGCAGCCACAGAACTTTCAAGCTTCGGCTTTTCAAATTTTAAATCCAATTTAGTCACAGCATCAGCATTTGGCAATTGATATTTAGTAGCCAGACGGTTAAGTTGGTCCTGTAAAGTTTTTTTGAATTCTGCGGAACTTTCCCAAAAATCGGGGCCAGAAGCCCTAAAAATAAAAATTTAATTAAAAAATTTTTACAAAAAAAATACTTTTGTTTAGCAGCCAAATCGCGGATTTGCTTAAGATAAGCCTCAGTAAGAAGATCAACTTCCTTACAGCGATACCCACTTGTACGAATAAATCGAATTGGAATTAAAACACGATTACCGAACATTTTTGTCTAGAAATATTTTTTAGAAAATATTTAAATAAATATAAAATAAATTTAACTTTTGCAACGTAAAAATTTGAAATGTTTTGGGAAGGTAGGTAGAATCTAAGATTTTTTGAAGCAATTGGGATGATTTATCAAAAGAATAAAATTTTAGTGGGGTGTGCGTACTCAAGAGTCCAAAGACTTTAATAAATCTTGGACTCAAATGTTTAATTAAAAAAGTTTTACAACGAATGATTTTGAAATTCAAAAATTTTATTCAAATTTTGAAACAAAAGGCTACATTTTTTTACAAATTTTAGACATTTTTGTTTGTTATTTAATTTCTCTTTTCTTTATTTTAGTTTTTAAAATGGACTATTATTCTTTTAATATTGACGAAACTGAATGTTCTTCATATAATAACAATACACATCTTGTTCGCCAGTTTAATTTCTTCCAATTTTCGAGTTCACAGGTTTTGGAGACATGTAAGGATTTGTAATAAAAAAATTTTAAAAAGTAAAGAAAGCTTATTTACCCCCCCCCCCTCCCCCGTCAATTTTTTGTGTTTAAGAGGTGCAAAAAAGTTCATTCGGTTTAAAGCATAATATTACTCGTCTAGCTGTATCGAATGACACTAAAATCAGCCCCTTTCTTAATCTTGAGCCGATATACAGACCCCCGAAAGTTGAAAAACAAAAGGGGGACCAAGCTTCATTTTTAGTTAAAAAATTCTAGTAACAAATAATAGCTCATTCGAAAGAGCTCATTGAGTTGATTCGAAGTCGGCGAGACCAATGTCGCGCTTCTTCGTAGGTTTTTGCTCTGTATCGGCCCAAAATAAGGACATGGCCTTATTTTGGTGTCATCGACACAGCTCGATGAGTTGTGTATTCTTTAAACCGACTGGCTATTTTATACATATTTAACAAAAAAAAATTGACTAGGGTTGGAGGGGAGGGGAGAGAGAGAAAACTAACACTAAATAAGTACCTATTACGTCTTTATTATTTTTAGTTCGGACTATTTTTACCGACTCTTGGTCTATTGTTATCCAAGGGACGACAATTCATTTGCTTAGACAACATTTAAATTTGACAGAGATGAGAATGAATAAACCGATTGATTCTCTTAAACAGGCTCTCATTGATCGTTTACTCCAAGTAACATTTTAATTATTTTTAAGTTTAGTTTTCGTTCAGAATGGGAAGTTCGATCTAATTTTCCACAAGGCGCAGGTTTTTTTTATTTATATTTTTATTTTTTTAAATTTTTATTTAAAGAAACATGCCAACAAATTTATTTTTCACGTACCGAAAAATCTTCGAATTGTGGATGAGATTCAGGAAGATGTGCCAGATGATGAGGATGATATTTGGAAACGTATAGAAGAATTGGAGCAGAATATTATTTTTGTTTGTTTATTTTAGTTTTTTAGACTCACGATCGTCTTGTCATTTTTAAATTGTTTATTTTTAGTTGCGTGTGAAAAATAAACAAATCAAGAAGAAACAGAAGAATGCAAAATTTTACGAAGAATTCCTTTCAACTTTTGATTAGAGTTTACTTTTAATTATTTTATTTAAAAATTATTGTAATTATTCTTTATACGCCCACATCTGATAAAAGGTGACATTTAATCTCAAAGAGCTATTTCAGACCCGGAACCCCATCCCAACCTCAGACTCTTTCCGACCCGAAACCCGATCAGACTGATATTCCCTGATTGACATATGTGCATCATTTTCTCTTATAAGAGGGATGAACATTAAAAAAAATTTGTGGTCGTTTTTTAAGTACCAAAAATATTATAATTTATCTTCACGGAATAAATGTAATCTAAACTGTCTTGACGGAATAAAAAAATGTGTTTTTGTTTCTTTATAATATATTTTATATACAATTAATTTAAATAATTTAGTATGACAGTTTATCTCAAATAGTAATTTTTTTGCCAAAATTCTTTATTTTTTTAGCTTTTCCAGAATTTTATTTTATTAAAGAATGAATACATTTATAACAAATTTTAGAAATATACCACAGGTAAATTCTTTGAAATTTTCTTCAAAAAATCAAAAAAAAATCTTTTAGATTTTACAAAAAACTAAAGATTTAATTTGTTCATTATCTTTATTTTCTGATAAAGAAAATTTATTTTTTTCTCAAAAAATTGAACATTTTAGTCAATTATCGGCATTAATTTGTAATTTATTTCATTCAATTTCATATATTTGTTTAAATTATTTAAATAATGAAAATCATTCAATTATTTTAAATATAATACAAATATTACCGAATTTTATTGAGGAAATTTGGAATTATTTGGAGGATGATAAATTGATAAATGTGAAGAATATTTATGCAGAGTTTGTTTTTTTTTAATTTAAATACCTAATTTTATTTTTTAGATCAATTATAATCTCTCGTTCAAAATTACTTCAATCATCTTTAAATCTTTTTTGTATTTATTACAATTGTGAATTTGTTAATAATAAAAGACGTTTACAATTAATTATTGAAAATATTGATAAAAAGGAGTAAGTATTTATTTTTAATTAAAATAAAATAGTTTATAAATAAGTTTTGTAATTTTTTTTTAAAGTTTTTCCAAAATATTTAATTGAATTTTCTAAAAATTTTAAAATTTTGTTTAAAATAGATTTTAAATTTAAAGTCCTTTTAATTCACAAAATTAAAAATTTAAATATATTTTTTAAAAAGATTTATTGTTCGTCTTAACAATGAAATTAATTTGGAAAGAGAATTTTCAAAATTTATTTCAACTGGTGTTTGTACAGAAAATCAATTAGAAATTTCAATAAAGGCAATTAAAAATGCTTATGAAGGAAAAAGAAAATTAATTAAAAATTTACTTTTAAGGCAAAGAATATTAAAGGTTTTTATTTAAAATAAATTTTTTTTTAAATTAATTTTTAGTTTATTGGATTTCCAAAAGAAAAATATATTTCTGATCAAATTCAAGAATTGAGTGAAATTATGTCTGATTTATCTAATCAACAAATACATGTATTTTTTTAATTAAAATAAAAATAAATTTAAAAAAAAGCTTTGTCTTCGACATTTTGGTTATGATATTGAAAAAACAACAGAAGCTTTGTGTCAAAGAGAACAACTTCCATTAAATTTAAAAATTTTATTAAGAGTAAAGGATAGTTTGGAAGAGGATAATTGTTGTCCAAAACAAGCTTTGGTTTCTGATGAAAATTTAGGTTTGTATAGAATTTTTGGGTTTTTTAGTAGCTGTAAATTATTTTGAAAATTTTATTTCTTCTGGGAATATTATGTATTTTATATTAAAAACAGTTAAAAAAATTTTTTGAATGGGAAGGGATTTTAATAGAGGGAATCGGGTAATACTAGACACTTATATTAGTAAGCACTTACAATTAGTCGGATTTTTAGATTAAATTAGGAAATATATCCAGCTAACAATTAAAATATTGATTTAGAAACTTTCGACAAATTATTAAATTTAGGAAATATTTCTGATATTATTTATTTTGATGAAAATAATTTCAAAAAAATTCTCAAAGAAATTGAAGATTTGAATGAATTAATTAAATCAGATGAAGCAACAATTAATATTGATGGAAAACTTTTTGCACCAAAATCTTCACAAAAAGTAAAAATAAATTTAATTTTTTAAATAAATTTAAATTTAAGGATTTATCAAAAGATGAGCGTATTGCATTGGCAACAGCAAGTATTAAATTGGCTGAAATGATTGAAGAAAAAAATTCTTGTCCTAATGAGGTTTTGAATTTTTAAAGAATTTTAAAGTTTTTTAAAAGATTTTTGGTGATGATTATGATGATGAATATAATGATACTTATGAAAATACTGAAGAATCTAAAGGAGTTGATATTGGCACATTGTGGGTAAAAACTTGTTAAAATTAATAATTTTGTTTATTTTAAGCACGAATGATGAGGATTTTGAATCGTCTAGTACACAAATTGAACGAAACAAAAAATAATTGTTAGAAATTTGTGGGTTATAGGGACCTCGACCCAAACTTTAGGTATATTTTTTTCATTACAAAGTTCGATTGAGGTCCCCAACTGTATTTTGTAAATTATTTAAATTAAATTTTAATATAATTTTTTGTATAATCTTAACCAATTTCCCCCAATAATTTTATGAATATTTACTGATGTAAAACAAAAAATTTACAAAATTAAATTGTAAATTCAACAATTTTTTCTATTCTGTCTGTATATTCCTTTAACCAGTTGCATATATTTGAAGGAATTTGTCGACTTTTTGTCTCCTTAATCATCTCGTCAATTTCATTCTTAGGTGAAAGTGAACAAAAAACAATTTCATTAACATCCTGTTTTTAAAATCTAAATTTATTACCAAATATTAAATTTAACCTCATCTCCTCTAACACAATAGACTGAACTAAAAACAGATTTTATTGTTTTCTTTACATCTATAGAAGTTTGTTCATCTCTAGTAACTAAATTCAACGCCAATACTCCTTAATTATTTTTATTTAGAAGAAAATATTTAAAAGAAAACCTCCATTTTTAATCATTTTCTTCATAAATGTCAAAGCTCCTTTTGTAACAAATTGAGATGGAGGGCAATACAAACCTTCTGGATTTACTTGTCCGGACAAGTCAACAAAAATTATATCGAATTTATCAACTTTTAATAATTATTTTTAAAATTATTTAAATTAATTTTACCTTGTTCAGCAGATTCTTTTATAAAATTAATTGCATCACAAATAACAATTTTTATCCGTTCTGAATTTTTGGGGAATTCAAAATGTTTGGAAGCAATTTCTACAACTTCCTCATCTAACTCAACACCAACAAAAATTGACTAAAAATAAAAATTTTTAAATAAAATATTTAATTCCTTACATTTATTAAAATATCATGAAAAGCTTTTAAAATAATTCCTCCACCCACTCCAAGCACCGCAATTCTCAACTTTTTATTTAAAACATTTTCTAATAAAATACTTTTTCCTTCTATATCAAAAAGAAAATTAAGAGCCAAAGTCATATTTTTGTGATGCTCACAGCTAAAAGGATTTGACCAATTAATTTTCCATTCTTCTTCATCTTTTATTTTTTAATTAAAATTTTTTAAAGTATTTTCTTTAAAAACCTCCTTTTGTTTTATTTTTTATTTTATTAACTTCAACTTCTGATTGAACTAAATTTGAACTATCTAAAAAAATTAAACGCCTATATGTCAATTCATTAGCAATAACATGTTCTACAGTCCATTTCCCATTTATTTTGGAATTTCCAGTTTCAATAGTTTCGCTAACATCTGTTGAACCCAACGATAAATAATTTATCTAGAAAAAAAATAATTTTTTTAATTTAAAAATAAAAAATACTTTTTGGTTAATACAATCTTTTGGCATAAAATCAAGAATTATATTATTTAATTCATTTTGTATTGCATCAAGTGATTGGTAATCTTGGTCACGAAATAATCGAACCATAATTAATCTGTAAACATTAAATAATTAAAAAAATAAAACAGATGTTAATGAAAGCACCAACAACCTTAACAAACCCTAAACCCTTTACTCCCCAAAGTTCAAAGCAAAAACTCCAGTAAAATTTCTAAAAACAATTTTACCTATGTAACTGACAATTCATTCGAAGATTTTGACGTCCTTTTGTCGTTACAAAAATCCAATCATTTTCTCTTTAAAAAATATTTTTTTGATTAAAAAACCTCTCAAAAAACCTTCCCAAAGGTACAATAAAAACTCCATATTTAGTTAATTTCTTTATATTATATTCATCTATTATAAAAAGTTCATATCTTTCTTTTCCATTTGAAAAATAAATTTTAAGAGAAGCCTCTTCAATTGGTCCTCTTAAAAAATATTATTTTTTTGTTAAAAATTAAAAATATTTACCTTGATATATAATGTTTAAACCAACTCAATTGTTGTTCTGCTTTTATTCTCTCTATTAACTTTTCTGAAGTTTCAATTAATTCTGGTTGTATATCTAGTCCATTTAAATATTCAATTTTCTAAAAAAATTATAAAATAAAAATAACAGGGTCTCTAAATTCTAATTAATTCTTAAGGTAAAAACATCAAATATAAAAAATTGTTTTTATTTTGAGGGGTTAAATAAAATTTAAAAAATTTAATTTAAAAATTCGGTATTATTCGGCTGTATCGCCGCATTTTCCTTGTGGTCTTCATTTTTCCGAATATGACCGTATATAACTTTTTATCCTTGATCCAATTATGAATAAATCTTATATGCAGGCCCGTAGCATATAAGATTGGGGGTGGGGGAGGGGAATTTTTATGCGTCGACAAAAATTTTGATTTTTCAGACCGCAGACGAAAATTTATAAAAATTTCGAAGGTCGTAGGCCAAAAAATTCACTTTTTCCATCTAGTTGGAAAAAAAAGGCGCTTATCAAGGGCTTTCGAATGATATGATTCATTCAGATTGGATCAAGGAAAAAAAGTTATAGCCAATCAAATTTGGAAAAAAAGAAAAATGCGAGGATATAACCGCATACATAAAACAAAAAATTCTTACACGTTTTTGAGGTAAAGGGATTTTTAATTTAGTAATAATAACAGCGAAAACAGGCATTACAAATTCTTTTCCAGATTGAAAACATTTTTGAAAACGAATCATAAATTGATTTTTATCAAAATAATTTAACAATTTTTGAATAATATGATCTTGTGCCAAAGTTACCTAAAAAATTAAAAATTTTTTAAATAATTAAAAGAAAACAACTTAAAATTATATAACGTCCAAATGGAGCTAAACATCTTTCAATTTCCCTAAAAATTGAATCAACTAAAATATATTCTTTTTCTGAATATTTTGAGGGAAGTAAAGCATCTAATGTTCCTTTATCAATTATTACATTTACAGAAGAATTTTGTAAATCAATCTAAAAATTAAAATAAAATGTAAGAAATAATTTTGGATACAAACATTTGAAGCAGAACAATTTTTAAATTTTAATGTTGGCCTATTCTCACAATTCTTTTTATTTTGTTTATCGATTACCTAAAAATTTAAATTAGAAAAAAAAATATTTTTAAAAAACAAACATTCTGATCAGTATCTATACTCAAAATATTTCTATAACCATTATCATAAAGCTAAAAAGAAAGAGAAAAATCTTTAAAAATTTTAAAAATAAACATCATCAGCCAAAGAAGAATTTCCACAACCAATTTGTAAAATAAAATCTGTAGATTTAATATATTTCTCAAAAATTTGTCCAAGTTTTGAATAATCTCCATACCTTTTAAATTTGAATATTTACAAAATTTATAAAAAAATAACCATTCAAATGAAGAATTATGCTTAAAAAATTTTTTCCAATAAGAAATATCTGTAAATTCTTTTTCTGATTTTGGTATAATTACAACCATATTTGTTGTTGCTGCTTTGTAAAACTATAAATTAAATAAGATGAAATTAAGTAATAAATAAAACTATTGAAAGGAGACTTTATTAAAAATTTCTTTTGTTAAAAGGTAGGTGACGATCGTGTCTGGTGATTTCGCCAGTGAATGATTTGGGCAGTGAGTGATATGGGCAGTAGTGAATTAGGCAGTAAACGTTTTTTAAAAAATTTTCTTTCACAAAAAAAACAATTCGAGTATCACTAGAAGAATAATTATGCGTAATCTCGGCTTTACGTATATTTACTTTAATTTTTTTAAAATGAATAATTATAAAGACAAGTTGGTATCGTAATAGGATTAAACGAAAAGAGAAGGGTGGCTAAACACGTCTCCGGGTCCACTATCACCCACCTATTTACGAAAATTTTTAAGTTCAAGACTCAAACAACGGTTACTGCCGAAATCACTCACTGCCCAATTAACTCACTGCCTAATTCACTTCTGTCGAAATCACACGGCACCGTGACGATTGAGTCTATGTCAGTTTTGAACAGTTTTGCAGTTTTTTTCAGACTGTAACGTCCACTTCTATTTTTAGAATTTTATACTATTAGGTCTCGGAATTTTCTTCAATTTAGATTTACAGTCGTGGAAAAAAGTATGGAAGCGCTAGAAAATTTTCTCTTAATTTTTAATTTTTCATTCAAAAAATACGTTCTATATACCAATCGAAAGCTCTATTCGTATCTCAGTTGACATGTTTCTGCATTTTTCATGAAAATGAAAATTGGCCGAGATAATCCAGATCTACCGGATATACCAAATCCCACTTTTTCGGAAAAATTTTTCGGAACAAATTTAACAAACCCAAATGATAAAGCATATTTTTCTGAGTATTTTCCACAAAACCGCTTAGAAATATCTTTTTCCGGAACAGAGATATGATTTTTTGAAAATCGCATTTATCCCTTAAAAATTGAAATTTTTGCAAAAATTGACGAAAAATGCGATTTTCAAAAAATCATATCTCTGCTCCGGAAAAAGATATTTCTAAGCGGTTTTGTGGAAAATGCTCACAAAAATATACTTTATCATTTGGGTTTGTTAAATTTGTTCCGAAAAATTTTTCCGAAAAAGTGGGATTTGGTATATCCGGTAGATCTGGATTATCTCGGCCAATTTTCATTTTCATGAAAAATGCAGAAACATGTCAACTGAGATACGAATAGAGCTTTCGATTGGTATATAGAACGTATTTTTTGAATGAAAAATTAAAAATTAAGAGAAAATTTTCTAGCGCTTCCATACTTTTTTCCACGACTGTAGGTATTTTCAATTTTTTGTTTATTATTTTTTTCAGATTTTTAATTTTTTAGTTATTTTATTTTAAAATAAAAAATGCTTCATCAACAAACGAATTCTTTATTTTTTATTTTGTTTGCTTTTTTTATTCTTATTATGACAAGTCTTTACAACTTGAAGACAATTATTGATTTAACTTTTGAAAATTCAAAATTACGAACAAATATTCTTTTACTCAATTTGACATGCAATAATGATGATAATAATAAATGTTTAAATGAAGATCCAATTATTTTTGTTACACCAACATCTTTTAGACCAGAACAAAAAGCTGACCTTACAAGACTTGGACAAACACTTGGAAATATTTGTAATTTATTTTGGATTATTGTTGAGGTTTTTATTTAAAATTTAAAAAAATCTAATTATTTTCTTTTTGTAAGGATGCTCAACTTCCTTCAAAATTTATTGACGATTTATTTGACAGATTGAAAATTAAAGGTGTTCATCTTGTAAAAGAAACACCTGCTGATAAAAAATTGAAGTTTTCTGATCCAAGATGGAAATTTCCTCGTGGAGTAGAACAACGAAATTCGGCTCTTTTTTGGATAAGGTAAATTTATTTTAACAAAAAAAAAACATTTTTATTTTTCAGAAATAATTTAAATTCTTGGAAGAGAGGAATTGTTTATTTTGGTGATGACGACAATACTTATGATTGGAGACTTTTTGATGAAATGCGCAAAATAAACCAAAAAATTGGTGTTTGGCCAGTTGGAATTGTTGGTGGAATGCTTGTTGAGACTCCTCTTTTGGAAAGAACTTTAACAAATTGTTTAAAATTTTTCTAAATATTTTTAATATTTATTATTTTTAGATACAGTTAATGGTTTTAATTCTCGTTGGAAGCCCGAACGTCCTTTCCCTATGGATATGGCTGGCTTTGCTATAAATATTTCTTTAATTCATGAACACTCGACAAGTTTATTTAGTTATAAATCTCCGCGTGGTTTTATGGTATTTTTTATTTTTTTTTATTATTTTTTGCTTTTCATTTCTGCAGGAATCACATTTTTTGCAATCTTTGGACATTAAAAGAGAAGATCTCGAACCTTTAGCTATGCATTGTACTAAAGTTTTTGTTTGGCATACTCGCACACAGAAAACTGCTTTATTGGCTGATGAATTCCAAAAATATATTATGGCAATAAATATTTCCTCAAGTCTTTCTATGGTTGAAGAAGATGCAATATTTTAAATGACTTTCTCTTTTGGACTTTAAATTATTTAAAATTTTTGAGTTTATTACATCGGATCTCTTTTTACGGTCACCTATTTTATCTCTTTCCAATCTCTGACGCCATATATCTATTCTATAATTAACATCGTCGCTAAAAGACCGGGATGTCAAAATCCAAAATTGTATTGACTCACTTGGTATAATTTTCTTTTTAATGGGCGAGCGGCAGAGATTGTAATGATGTCTTTTTTGTTACTTAATTTTATTGTTCATTTGCTCAATAAAAAGTTAAGATTAGATTTCATCTATTTTTATTTGTTATATCAATTTATTTATTTCCTATTCTCATTTTTCATTAATTAATTTTTTTAGAAATAATGGGTGAACGTAAAGGCCAAAATAAATATTATCCGCCAGATTTTAATTGGCGTACTCACAAAACATTAAATAGTTATCATGGTGTTCATGCACTACGGGAGCGTGGAAAGAAAGCAAATGTTGGAATTATAACAATTAGATTTGAAATGCCCTTTAATGTTTGGTGTTTGGGATGTAATAATCATATTGGTATGAGTGTACGTTATAATGCGGAAAAGAAGAAGGTTGGAATGTATTACACAAGTATGTTTTTTTAAAAAGGGGTTTTTGTGTTTTTAAGTCATCATAATGTAGGTTGTTAGGCTTTATTTTCAGTTTCTGAACAGCTGTATCTGGCCGTTTAGATCTCCCAAAAATTTGTAAAACACGACTTTTTATTTTATACAAATTTCAGCACCAATTTACGAGTTCCGTATGAAGTGCCATCTTTGTGATAATTATTTCATCATACGTACAGATCCAAAAAATTTTGATTATGAATTGGTTGAGGGAGTTAGGCGACAGGAAATTCGTTTTGATCCCTCTACTATCGATAAGTTTGTTTAGAAATCATATTGAATCTATAAATCCTCCATTTTTAGTTTGGCACCAGTAGATCGAACGATGAGTTTAAAATTAGCCTCTGATGCTATGTTTAAGGTTTTTAATTAAAATAATTTTAGTTTTTAATTTAATTGTAGACAGAACATACAGTTGAGGATAAACAAAAATTGGCAGGGGATGATCAAAGAATTGACAAACTTGAATGGATTCAGTCAAGGCTTTATGATGATTTTGGGGCGAATTCCGCATTACGGTGTGTTTTTCGAACGGAAAGAAAAGCTTTAACAGAACGTAGAGTGAAAGATGCTGATATACAACAAAGACTTTCAACAGAAGTTTCTCTTTTACCAGAAAGTAAAGAAGATGCAATAGCTGCAAAACGATTGGTGCTAAGCAAACAATTGGATGGTAAATTAATTTTTTTTAAATTTTGCTTTTAATTAAGAATACTTGTTATCTTTTTAGTTTACAAAGAAAGAGATGACACATTAAGCAAAGAAAAACTTATGAAGCAACCAATACATTTTGAACAAAATCCAGGCTTTGTTTCTTCTTCTCCATCAACATCAAAATGTTCATTTACTAAAAGCTCAAGTGAACTTTTAGCAGAAAAATTACATCAACAATCAGTTAAAAATGCATTAGAAAATTGTAAATGGAAGGGCGATGGAGGAAGTTCTGTTGGAGGAAAATTTAAAAGAAGAATACTTTTAGGTGTTAAAACCAATCAAAAGGGAAACAATAAAAATAGAAAAACAAAAAACTGCAACAAGTAAAGAATTACTTAAAAGTAAACTTTGATAATCTTAAAATTTAGTGACGAGGAAATATTAGAAAAAGACGAAGTGGACATAGAATGTCTAGATGAAAAAGAAGAAACAAATAACGGGGAACAATCATCTTTTCTACCTGGAATTTCGATATATAATTGTGAAGATTATGATAGCAGTAATTCTGAAGATAATAAAGATATATTTTAAAGTAAAAAAGTAACATTATATGAGATTTTATAAATATGTAAATATAAAAGAGATAAATAAATTAACAAGAACCTGGATCAATGCTTTAATCTTTAACTGATAATAATATTAAAAACAATAACAAAAATTAAGAAAAATGAATATTTTCTTTGTTAAAATTTATTAAAAGAGCAAGAAAATCTTCTATAGACATTGTTCTTGCTCTCCGGTTAGCAAATTGTCCATCAACAAGTGTTCGTTCAATTAATTCTTCCATAGAAAAATCATCAGAAATTTCCTTTCCTTTTGATTTACAAACAATTTTATAATTACGCTCCAAAATGTTAACAACATTTTTTTGTTTAAATAATGAGAGAATAGTTTTATTTTTTCTCATAAATGCAATTCTTAACATTCCATCCCATTCCTTTAATAAAAAAATTTTTTTTTATTTTTTAATATCTAATAAAAAACCTTATAACAAATTGCTGGTGGGGGAGATCTAGGTTCTATGCGTACAACAGCAGAATCAACCTTTGGAGGAGGTACAAATTCTGAACGTTTAACTTTCATTAAATGTTCAACTTTTGCTAATAATTGTACACTAACAGATAAACGGCAATAACATTTACTTCCAGGAGAGGCTGTAAGACGATCAGCAAATTCTTTTTGGAACATTAAAACAGCATATCTTTTTTTAATTAAAATTGTTTAAATAATTTAGACAAAACCTTGGCAAAGGTCTTTGCAACAATAATCGAAAAACAAAAGGCGAAGATATTTTATAAGGCAAATTGGAGACACAAATATCAAATTGGGGCCATTCTTTTATTTTAATTACATCACCAGTAATTATTTTTAATTTATACTGATTTTGACTAAAAATTTAAATTAATTTTTTTTAAATAAAAATAAAATTTTACGTTCCAATAACTCTTTTTTGTAATTCTGCAACCATTTTTGGGTCTATTTCGAAAGCTATCAATTTTTTTGCTCTTTGCATAATTTTTAGTGACATATTTCCAGTACCAGATCCCACTTCCATTACCGTGTCAGTGCCTTTTATTGCCGACTTAAATAAAAAAATTTTTTTTTAATTTCAAATATTCAAACCTTTTCAATAATTGCGTGGACAACTCCAGGATTCTTTAAAATGTGTTGCCCTTTTAGTTTGTCAAATCGAACACCTAAAAATATATTTAATTAAATTTAAAAAAATTATAAACCTGTCGCTTTTTTGTTTATATCTTCAAAAGCCTTTCTTTTTTTGCCCATATTTTCTTTCAAAAAATTTAAAAAAAAATAAATTTAAATTGAGAAAATAATTAAAGTTAGTAAACATGGGATAAAAATAATTAAAAAAAATATGTAATTTTATAAAAAATATGAAATCGAATTTTTTACAATAAATATTAGATAAATTTCCAAGATTATTCAATTTTTTCGGATAATTTTTTCTCTTCAAATAAATAATAATTAATAAATTGTATCATTATATAACAATTTGTAATTAAAAAAATTAACGATCCAAACCAAATCCAAATAAATGTATTATATCCACAAAATTCGAGTAAATAAGCAGGCAATAACCAATTACCTTGAGCAAATAACCAAATAGCCAAAAGTAAAAATAATTTATTTAAATTTAACTAAAAATTAAAAATTTATTTTAATATTTAAAAATACTTTAATTTTATGAATAATTAAAGGAAGAAAACAGAAATACCAAATAAAATATTGAGAAGTACTAACCTTTAAAAATAAAAAAAAATATTTTTAAATTTATTTAAAAAAAACTTTATTAAAAGAGACGAATGCAAATGTTGTCAAAAACCAACAAAACGGCAAATCATTTGAAAATCTATAAAAAAATTATTTTTTTAATTAAAAAATTATTTAACAAACTTTAATGCAAAAAAAGCATTGCAAATAATTTGAGGAAAAAATGAAAAAATTCCAATAAATTTAGTCCATTCTCTATTATTCATTGACAAATATAAAGGTAAAAAATATGGAGAAAAATTATGAGAAACATCAACTCTTGTTAAATGATACAAAAAAGAAGAATAAATAAATGATTGTCCATAAAATAAATAAAAAATAAAAGTTGAAAGCAAAAAAGAGAAAATACTTATCTTTAAAGAAGAAATTTTTTTTAACTAAAAAGAAAAACTTACAAAAATAAATAAAAATCCCCTCTTGTTTTGTAAACAATTTAAAATAAATAATTTAATATTTCCCAAATTTTTATTTTTATAATTGGATAAATGAAGAAAAATTGAAGGAAAATAAATTAACTGAAAAAATAATCAGAAAATACATATTTAAAAATTATTTTTGATATAAAAAACAAACAGGGAATATTCTCAAATGTGTTGCTAATCCATGAATAAATGCTGAGAATAAATAATTTCCTTTAGATAATTCAAGCATTGTCAACAAATTTAAAAAACAAATTAAAGCATCAGAATTTCCTCGAGTTGCAATAATTATATTAAAAAGATTAAATAACCAAAGAAGACAAATTGAACGACGAAATAAAATTAATTTGTTTGAAATTATTTCTTTACTTGTTGTAGAGATTTTGTTAAATTGAGTAAAATATTTTAATTGTATCCAACCAACAAAAACATCCAAAATCGAAAAAATTATTTTCCCTTTAAAAAAGTATTTTTTTCGAATAAAAAAATTTTCTTTACCAAAATCTGCAAATAAATAATTAGGAACAAGAATCCACGCAATAATTGGTGAATATCTATAAGTTGAAAGATTGTATGGAGAAGATCCTTGTAAAACCAAAAGTGCAGCTTCTGTAAAGACTTCGTAATCAACATCAGTAAAATTTAACTATAAAATTAAAGAAAAATAAATTTAAAAAAATTTTTAAAAATTAAAAATTACATTAAATAAATAATCGTGAATTCGAGCATATAAAATAAAAAATAAACGAACAAGAAATGCTAAAATAAATAAATTATTATCAGACCAAATTAAGGGCCAAGTCATTACAAAAAACGACGAATTGTAAGGACGGAATTTGTCTAAAATTTGTTTTTGACAGAATGCCAAAAAATAAAAATAATTTTTTAATGCCAAATTGCGGGGCTTCAAATATTTTTTATTAAATTTTCAAAAATAACCAAATTTTCATTTTTTTTTTCAAGTGAAAGATGGTCTTTTATCTTGTTGGATTAGGGTTAGGAGATGTCACAGATATAACAGTAAAAGGATTAAATATTGTTTGTTTATATGTATTTATTTATTAAAAATAAATATAAATTTTAAAAAGGTTCGCCGTTGCAAAAAAGTTTATTTTGAAAATTATACAAGTTTACTTTCATTTGGTTTTGATCAAACACAACTTGAAAAATTTTATGAAAGGCCAATAATTGAAGCAGATAGAGAATTTGTTGAACAAAAAATTGGTGCTTAAATTTTAAATTAATTTTTTTAAAATTTTCTTTTCAAAAAAAGAGAAGGTTTTGGAAGAATCTTTAAATGAGGATATTGCTTTATTAATTGTTGGTGATCCTTTTGGTGCTACAACACAGTAAAATTTTTGGTAGTTTTTATTTTAAATTAAATTTCAAGTTCAGATTTGTTAATTAGAGCAAAACAAATGGGCGGTTCTGTTAAAGTGGTTAGTTTATTTTTAATTATTTTTTCTAAATAAACAATTTAGATTCATAATGCTTCAATTTTAACAGCTGTTGGATGTACAGGACTTCAAGTATTTTTAATTTTTAGATTTTTTTAAAAAATATTTTAGCTTTATAATTTTGGCTCAACTGTCTCAATTCCTTTTTGGACTGATAATTGGGAACCTGATTCTTTTTTTGAAAAGTTTGTTATTTTTTTAAATCACTGGTTTGTTAGTACATGATTGTACTATAAAAGAATAAAAACAGACAATAACAAATTCGTGTAGATAACGGATTAACAAAAATTATTTTAGAAAAGGCTTTAACTACAGAATAATCCCCATTTTTTGTCCTACTATTAATCTATTTTTGCTTTTTATACAATTTAATTTTAAGGATCATAATAAACTTGAATAATGGAATGCATACATTATGTTTACTTGGTATTTATTTAAATTTAAAAATTTTTTCAAAAAATATTTATAGATATTAAAATAAAAGAACAAAGTTTGGAAAATATTTTGAGGTATTTTAAAAAATTAATTATAAAAATATTTTTTTTTTAATTTAGAAAAAGAAATGAATATGAGAAACCATGTTTTCTAACTTGTTCCCAAGCTGCTAAACAAATAATTAAACTAATTGAGAGGAATAAAGGAAATTTGGGTATTTTTTAAATTTTCATTATTAAAATATTTTTATATAATAATAGTTGTAAATGCTGATATATTTGTTGTTGGAATTGCTAGAATTGGTTGGGATGATCAAAAGGTTTTATATTAATTAAATAATTTTAAATTAAATATAATTGAATTTTCTTATTTTTTGGTGAGTTTTGGGAACAATAAAAATTAATTTACGTATTTCTAAAATTAACGGATATATTTTGGGGGGTTGCTTGAATAAAATAAATTTAGAAATTCCTTTAATTTCATGTCCTCCTTCCCAAAACTTGAGATATTTACGAGTCAAAAAAACATTTAAATCCCCCAAAATCCGGTAATTTTTAATTAAATTAAAGGTTTTCTAAAATCAATTAATTTTTACTCTTTTAATTTATAGATTGTCTATGCTACTCTTCAACAGTTAGCCTTTGAAGTGGATATGGGGTTACCTCTTCACAGTCTAATCATTCCTTCCTTTGAATTACATCCTTTAGAGAAAGAAATGCTTAATTCTTTTATTTTTAAATAATTGTTGTTGTTGTTTTTATTGTTGTTGTTGACATTTTTAACGAGTTAAAAACTTTGGATATTTCTCTACTTTTCCTTTCTTTTGAGCTTTCCAAACGTCCAAAAATCCCCCCAAAAATGATTTTGTGCTCTTACCTTTTTCTTTCCTTTGTGTCATTTTATGTCTTTAACATTTTATAAAAATACATTTTGTAGAATTGTTCACTGGCAGACAATTTTGCTTACCCTTCCCTCTCAGTATCGTATACGAGAGGGAATCGATTCATTGGAATATTTCCAAAGTCAGCGCTCGGGGGTTATAATATATGTGTGGGTAGGCATGTAGTTAGTTGTTGTAGTAGTGTGGCTTGCTTAAAGCGTATGCAAGACAAAGCAAATAATATGTAAAGAAAAGAAAAAATGGGTGGCAGAAAAACCACCATCGCGTCTTGTGTTAATGCTCCTCTGTCTTCTTAATGTTGTCAAGTGCCCGTCTCCCAAATAATACGCAATTTATCGGTTTCATTTATAGCTTAAAACCAAGTCCTATGTCCACATGTTTAGTTGTAAAAAATTAAGTTTTAATTTTTAATGTTTGCCCAAATAATTTGTGTTTCAATTGTTATTTGTTTAGCTTTTACATTTATGCTTTTTTTGACCCTTATTAAAGTTTCTGTATTTGTTGGCTTTATGCCCTTAACAGGAAATTCTAAGTACGGTAATCAGGTCCGAGTTTAATTTCGCGTACTTGAGTCTGATTATCAAAATTCATCACAAAAAAGCCTTTAAATGCATCACAAATTCTTTTCGAGACTCAATTTGTTTTTAAGTGATAATCTTCCTAATCTCTTAAATGCCTTGCCAAATCTTGTAAAATAATGTTTTTTTAATTTTTAGTAAAATATTTTTTATTTAAATTTGCAACATTTTGGCTATTAAATAATCAAAATGTTTCCACAACATCCTCAACAACAAGCACAAATGCATTCCCAACTACAACAAAGAAAAGAACCACAACAATTTATTTCAGCTGAGGCACAAGCAAGAGAAAAGTAAAAAAATATTTTTTTTAAAATTTTTTTTATTTATTTTTTTCAAGATTAAGCCATTTTGTTTATGAATATCTTGTTCATATGGGAGCATCTAAAACTGCCGATATGTTTAAAAATGAGGTTCTTGCACATAATCCAAATATTCAAATTGATGTCTCTGCACCGCCTGGCTTTCTTTCAAATTGGTTTAGGTAGGGAATTTGTTTTAAAATTATTTAAAAAAATATTTTTAAAGTGTTTTTTGGGACCTTTATTCTGTTCAAGCTGACAAAAAAGATAAAGCAGAACCTTCAAATGATGCAAAAACTTATCATAAAATGGTGAATTGTTATTTAATTTTGATTAATTTTAATTTCAAATTTTAGATCTTCCCAGCTGGCGGTTTCCCTGAGGGAATGGTTAACGGGGGAGGAATATATGGACATCCTGGGGTTTCTATTTATTTTTAATATTGAAGAAAGATTATTTTAAGTTTCATAATCCAAATATGGGCCAAGCTCCTGGTTTGCCTCCTCCACCTCAATCTCAAAATATGCCTGATGGTATGTTTCCGGTTGGTTATTTTAATGGAACACGTGGTGGTCCTCAGCCTGGTCCTTCTCAATCTTCTAATCAAGCTTCGCCTATTCCAGGTAATTTTAAATTTTTACTTTTTTTAATTTATATTTTCTTTAAAAGGTGGACCTTCTAACAGATTTCCTCAACAACAAGGTACTCGAAGTGGGGCACCAACTCCCAACAGTTTTCAACCACAACATCAAATGAATGCTGCTTCCTTCCAAATGACCGAACAAATGCGGATGGCTTTCGTTCAACAGCAAAGACAAGGTGTCCAACCCGGAAGGATGCCTATGGTTTGTTTGTCAAACAAATATTTTCTTTTTATTTTCTTTCTTTCATTAGAATATGCCCCTTTCTGGTCATCCAGGCAGGCAACAAATTCGCCCACAATTCTGTCCACCACAACAATATATGGATTCACCATCTGGCACTCCACCATTCACAGGTTCTATAGCACATAATGGCGCAGTTTCTGCTGCAGCTGCTTCGGCTATGTGTTCTTCTTCCGCTTCTTTAATGTCTCCTACAGCCTGTGTTCCTTCTCAACAACAAATACCTCATGGTGTTTTAATGGGTGGAGGGTCTGTCCCCGGACAAATGCAGGGACCATCTGGTGATGTAACGGGAGTTGGTCCTGGCTCTGCCGATCCTAATTTTATGATGATGAGTGCTGGTGGTGGTCCTCCTAGTGGAATGCAATCACAGGTTTTTTTATTGATGCTTAATAATTTTCTTATTAATTTTTAAAGTTTTTAAATCACAATGATGGAGGAAACGGTGGCAATCCAACGGCTACATCGATTAGACAACAAATAGAAGCTGCTGAAGGCGGAGATTTAAATGGAGGTGGAAATCAACAACAAAGCAGTCAATTACATTCATTATTGAATGGGACAGGAGGAGGGGCAAGTGGAGATATGTCTATGGAAATAAAACATTCACCTGCATCTGTTCATCATTTTGCGGGTAGTGGAAGTGTACCAGGTAAAATTTTAATTTTTGTATGAAATTTTTTTAAAAAATAGGAACAAGTTGTCAACAACCAGGCATAAATGGTGGAACACCTACGGGGGGAGGAGGCCCTTTAGGTAGTGTTGGTGGCCCTAGTTCTGTTCATTCTCAACAAAGTGGTAGCAATAATAAAATCCAACAACAACCACCAATCTCTGAAGCATTAGAAATGGCTGGACATGTGGGGAATCATCAGGTTTTTTTAATTCTTAAATTTGAAGTAATTTTTTTAAAAAATTTAGAGTGATGAAATTTCCAAAATTAAAGCAGGTCTATTGGAAGGATTTCCCCAAACTCATCAATTTCAGCAGCAATGATTTTTAAAAATATTGAAAAGAGCTAAATTAGAAAAAAAACCTTAAAAGTGACATATACATAGATGCTTAAATATTTGCATATTAATTATTAGAAAATAATTTTTTTTATATATTTTTTGGAATATTTTAGCGAATTTTTTGTATTAAAAGGGAATTTTTTGTAAGGAGAATTTAATTAAATTTTTTAAATTTCCTTTTTATAATCCAAAATCTCTTTTAAATAATTATTTAGAATTTCAATTTAATTCCCAACAATTTACTCTATAAAAAGTAGGAAATAAATATTTTCTATGATTTAAAAAAATATTTTTTGTATAAATCGTCTAAACTCCATTTGTTTATGTATCTTTTTGGCTTTTTTACAATTTTTATTTTGATTAAACATGGCATTCTTCTCTTTTTTTATACCGATTTTTTTTAATTTTTAATTCAAAGTTTAATTAAAAAAGAAATTCGGTATTTAATCGTTTGTGTATATTTAAATATCCCTATTAATACAAATTTATAAATACCAAAGGTTTATGTGTATTTTTTTGAAAATTCGTACAAAATTTATATATTTTTTAAAATAAATAATTAAGGGTTTTCTGATAACTTTTTTTTAATTTTTTAGTTTTAAATTTATTTTTAATTAAGAATCTAAAAAAATTTAATTATTTATGGGTATGAAAAGGAGAAAGCATACTTCAACCAGAATTACTGGTGTAGAAGAAAAAATACATAAAAATGATAATCATAATTCAATACAAAATTCAAATAATCAACAAAATAAAATGTTTGGGAAGGAACAATATTTACCTGAAAAATCTAATATTAAATTTGAAGATGTGGGTGGGTGTGAAGCACAATTTTTGGTGAATAAATAAAATAGGGGAAATATTTAAAATTAATTTTTAAAGGAAGCAATTTATATGTTGATGCATTTAAAACAGCCTGAACTCTGTACAAATTTAGGAGTTAATCCTCCAAAAGGGTTACTTTTACATGGACCTCCAGGATGTGGGAAATCTTTATTTGCACGTGCAATTTCTGGTTTAATTTAAATTTAATTAAAAAAAAATTAATTTTTAAGGAGAACTTCAAATTCCAATTTTATCAATTTCTTCAACAGAATTAATTGCTGGAATTTCTGGTGACAGTGAACGTCGAATAAGACAATTATTTGTTGATGCTGAAGCTAGAAATACCCAAACTTTAATTTTAATTGAAGATATAGATGTAATTGCAGCAAAAAGAGAAAATGCTCAACGTGAAATGGAAAGAAGAATTGTAACACAATTAATTGCTTCTTTGGATGGTTTGAATTTTATTTAATTTCTAAAAAGAAAAAAAAATTAAAGATCTCAATTCAACTCTTTCAAAAGTTTTTGTTATTGGGACAACAAATAGACCTGAAATTTTAGACGCCTCTTTACGTAGAGCTGGACGTTTTGACAAAGAAATTTCGATTGGAATTCCAGATTGTCGATCACGATTAGAAATTCTAAAAATTGCGACAAGGTAATTATTTAAATTTTTTTAAATTTTACACAATTCTTCTTTTTTCAAAGAAAAATGAATTTGGCAGAAAATGTTGATTTAAAACGTTTGGCCCATTTAACTCCCGGCTAGTTTTAATTTTTCTTTGAAATATATTTTAACAGAATTTAATTAGGTTATGTTGGTGCTGATTTATTTGCACTTGTTCGTGAAGCTTCAACAAGAGCTTTAAGTTTTGCTTTTTCAAAAAGCGAAGAAGAGGAAAACCAAAATTTAATTTTAAGTAAAATTCCAAAGAAGAGAACTTTGGAAGAAATTCGGGAAGAACTTTTTAGAGGTAATTTTTTTATTTTATTTAAAAATTATTTGTTTATATTTCAGCTTGTAATTGGTTTAAAGAGCCATTAAATACAAATTCTTTAATTGTTAATAATACCAATGAATTAACTATTTCAATGATGTAATTCTTTTATTTTTAAAAATTAAAAAAAATTTTTTCAAGTAATTTTGAATGGGCTCTTTCAACAGTCCATCCTTCAGCAAAAAGAGAGGGGTTTGCAACAGTTCCAGATGTTACTTGGGAAGATATTGGTTCATTAGAGAAAATAAGATCAGAATTAAATTGGTCAATATTGGTAAAAATTTTAAAATCTTTTTTTTTAATTTTTATTTTTGTAAAAGTATCCAATCCAAAAGCCAGAATATTTTGAACATTTTGGTTTAAATGCTCGTCCACAAGTAAATAAAAATGGGAAAAATATGTTAAAAATATATATTTTTGAGGGCATTCTTTTTTGTGGACCTCCTGGCTGTGGAAAAACTATGTTGGCAAAAGCAGTAGCAAATGAAACTGGAATGAGTTTTATTAGTATAAAAGGCCCAGAGTTAATGAGTATGGTTAGATTTTCAAAAATTTTAGTTAATTTTTTAAATTAAAAATTAGTATGTTGGGGAAAGTGAACGAGCTGTTCGGACCGTCTTCCAACGTGCGAGAGATTCTGCTCCATGTGTTATATTTTTTGATGAAATTGATTCTTTATGTCCCAAACGTTCACAAAAAGAGGTAAAAATTAGAAAAAACATTAAAATAATTTTTAGACTGTTGGAAGTGCTCGATTAGTTAATCAATTATTAACTGAAATGGATGGTTTAGAAGCTAGAAAAGATGTTTTTCTGATTGGTGCTACGAATAGACCAGGTTTAATTTTAATTAAAAATATTCTCGTTTTTTATCAAACAGATATAATCGACCCAGCTATTTTGAGACCAGGACGTTTCGATAAAGTAATCTTTATCGATTTTCCTAGTGTTAAGGAGAGGGCGGATATTCTTCATACAATCACAAAAGTAATTTACTTACAAACTTTGAATTGAATTTTAGAAAATTATAAATTATTTTAGAATAAAACAAGGCCAAGAATATGCCCTTCCGTTTCTTTCGAAAAGATGGCAGAAAATCAAGCAATGGAATTTTTCACGTAATTTTAAATTAGATTTTTAAAATAAATTAGAATCTCTCCCTAAGAAATCCCTCTCGAAAAATATCTAATTTTCGTTTTAGAGGCGCCGATCTTGTAGCTTTGGTACATGAGGCAACATTGATAGCATTGAAGGAAAGGATTGAATGCAAAAACCTCTCAATCAATTCTGTAATCAGTGAAAACTTTGAGGAAGCGTTAAATAAAGTTTCGCCCTCCGTGAAATCTGAGGATCGTTTGTATTATAAGAAATTAAAGGAAAAGTTTTCCGTTGAAAATTTTAAGAAATAAATTTTGTTTAAAAGATTTGGCTAAAGTACACTTTACCGGGGGATTTTAGATTTTTATGATTTATATGTCAATCGAAAGAGCTCATCAAGCTGAGTCGAATGACACCAAAATTAGTCAGCGGACTCAACTATATGCCGAGTTACTGGTCTCTGAAAATTGAAAAACCAAAGGGGGGAGTAAGGTCGATTTTGGGGTCAAAAATTCGAATATACAAATTATACCTCATTTGAAAGAGCTCGTCGAGCGGAGTCGAATGATACCAAAATCAACGAAATCTAACTTGATTTGACAAAGTTATGAGCATTTGTTTTAGCTCCTTACCTTTGGTCTACGTGCAGGTTTTTCTTACTGGGGAGGAAGCCAGACATGCCGACCGCAGCTAAAATAGGCATAAGTTTATGTTACGAGCCCAGACCCAGCGCCCGTAGACTCCCCGCGAGGCGCGTGCCGCAAAACCCCGCGCGAAGCGCGGGGTTTTGCACAAGCGCCTCGCCGACGCCCCATAGGTTTATGTTGCTTGTATTTTGTGTTGTAACTTTGTCTAAATTTGTTCAATCACTGTGATCTTGGTGTCATTCGACTCAGCTCGTCGAGCTCTTTCGAAAGAGCTATAATATGGTTAAAAAATTTTTAATTCCAATAATCGCCCCTTTGAATCTTCGGTTTTTAGGAGTCTATATCTCGGTCCAATCAAGTCGGATTTCGTTGATTTTGGTCTTATTCGACTCAGCTTGACGAGCTCTTTCGAATGAGGTATAATTCGCATATTCGAATTTTTCACCCCCAAAAAAGTGCTTGGTCCTCCCTATGGTTTTTCGATTTTTGGGGACCTATATCTTGGCCCACAGTTGAGTCCGCGGGCTAATTTTGGTGTCGTTCGACTCAGCTCGCCGAGCTCTTTCGAATGACATATAAATTGTTCAAATCTAAAATCCCCCGGTAAAGTGTACTTAGGCCAAAAGATTTAGTTCTAAAAACATTTAAAAATTGCAAAAATTTTATTAAAAGTACCTTAATCCAAAATACAGACAAGCAAAATGTAATTTCAATGTTTGGGGTTAATGAAGCAATTGGGAAAATCAAATCAGGTAATCAAGTCTAATTGTAAGTCTAGTCGGTAAGTAATAAATCTTACTCATCTTCTTCCCTTACTTTGCTCAGTTCATGTTTGAAACGCTCCTGACGACGTCTTTTCATTATAGACTGTGTTCGCCGTTTAAACTCTAAATGAAAAAATATTATTTAATTTCAGAGCTAATAAATTACTTTTTGCTTCATCTTCCTTTTCCGCAGCTTTAACGATATTAAGGACGCCGTATTTCTTACACAGATTGTCTTTAGGTTCAACCTCTGTAGCGCCAACCAAAACTCGATCTAAAACCGTTAAAAATTAAAGACTTCCAGGACATGATCAATTTTCAATAATATCGATAATTAAAATCCAGCCCCTCTTGAAACAAGAAATTTTTAGCATTTTTAATTACATACTTCCGTCCATGTCAATTTCGTAGATTGCCTTCTGTCCCAAATGATGTTGAAGAGGAGGCAGCCGATTTCGTTTAGAACGTCTTAAACCAAGTTGCACAACAGAAGGAGATTCTGGATCAGGCCGAACTTTAGGGAAATATAATTCTAATATTTGAATAAATAACACTCACTAATCTTTGGTTGATATGTCAATCTTGGTGGCTTGTTAATGCATACAGTGTGTAAAAAATGTTTTGGAGGCGATGCATAGAAATTAGAACTCTGAGATAAATCTTTTTCTTCCGCTTCTTCAACTTTCCCTCCATCAGTCTCGTCGTCATAAATATCCTGAAATTCAATATAAAAATATTTTATGTTTTCTATATTAGACATTATCAAAATTTAATGAGAATTTCTATAGTTTGCTCTCCCGGAAAGTGGTTAAATTGAGAGAAAGACAGAGGCCGAATGTTTCCGAAAGGTTGAAATCAGAGACGCACCTATAATCACCTATAATTTTGCGCACCTATAATTTTGCGAGGTCCCGCTCCCTTTTTTCGATTTGCGGGATCCCGTCCCGCAAAGATTTTTAAAAAAAATCCAGCATCCGGGATCCCGCAAACACGATTTTGCCGGTCTCTAGTTGAAATGAAGTATTATTTTGGAGTGTTTCATGTTAAAATACTTACAAGTGTTTGGTCAGCCTGGAACAATGAAATTTTTGCCTGCGCCGGTGTAGGAGATTTTTCAAAGAATGTCTGTTCAGAATTGGAAAGAATTGAAGGCATATTAATACTTCGACGATCATCGAAATTATAAGAAGAATTTGGTGAAGGATTATTCTCAATATTTTCAGTTTCAAAAGATTGTTGTGCTGATGGACGGATCAACTCACGCACCTATAATTAAATTAATTAGCTAGAAATATCTATTCTTGTAAAGAGAATTGTTTATAAACTATATAGGTATTTTTCCTATAGTATTTTGCCCTCATTTTAGAATCAAAACAAAAATTAAAAGAAAACAAAATTTAAGTAAAACCTTGCAAGGAGTTCCCTTAATCAAAACAAATTGATTTTTATTTAAAGAGGAGCATGGTTTTGGAAAATTTGTTGATGTACTAGGTCCAGCTGTTTCAAAATCATGGCTTTGTGCACGATCATCCACCACCTGCTTTTCAAATAATTTTTATTTAAAAATATAAAAATCCTAACCGAATCCTGACAAATTGTGCTCTCAAAAAAAGAAGGAATACTAGCACGAAAAGTTGGACATTTATTTGGACGTGTAGTTGATTTACTAACTTCCTCATTCTAGGAAAAAAAAATTATAATTTTTCAAAAAAAGATTAACAAAAAAAATAAATTACCAACCAAACTTTGATCAAGAATTGTGCTTTCAAAAAGTAAGGAAGGAATATTAGCACGAAAAGTTGGACAATTTTTTTGAAAAGGAGTTGATGTATCAGTGCAAGTATTAATGGTGCTTTCAAAAAGTGAAGAAATATTAGCACGAAACGTTGGACATTTATTTGGAATTGTTGTTGGTGTACTAACGGCTTCAGAAGCGTAATCTTGTTCATCTTCCTCATTCTAAAATTAATTTTTCAAAAAAGGTAACCAACAAAAAATTACTAACCAAAGTTTGATCATGAATTGTGCTTTCAAAAAGCAAAGAAGGAACATTAGCACGAAAAGTTGGACAATCAGTTCTTTTAGGCATTGAATCTCGAATTGAACGAATATTTAAAATTCCATTTAAATTTCCTTCATTTTCTGTTATTTCTTCATTGCCAATTTCTTCTTGTTTTGATGATTTTTTTGTTAAAGATAGTGGACGTTCAGAATAATCATCAGTTTTGGCTTCAGGAATTGTTAATGTTTTATCTCCAACATCGTTGTTATTGACAAGTACAAATGGCGACTTTTGGTACTTTTTGGATATCCCGCCCTCTAGTTTGAGTTCATGATCCCCTTCGGTTGTAGGTGTAAGTAATTGTTTTTGGGCATCAACAACACTCTTTAAAATATGAATTGAATATATACATAAATAGGTATCCTAACAAAAGGACAAAAAATTAATTATTTAAAATCTTAATTATTTTAAATTATAATATTTAATCAGTTTTCATTTACAAATTTAAAAACATCAAAACTATTAAATTAAAAATATAAATAGCAAACCTGACTCTGATCAAAAATGGTACTTTCAAAGAGGGAAGGAATACTGGCTCGAAAAGTTGAAGAGTCTTTTTGATCAGACATAAATAAATTTTAAAGAAAATCTTACCTGAAAAAAAAATAAAATTAGAAAATTACAAAAAAACAAAGCAATATAAAGAGTAATTTATGAGAAAATTTAAAATATATAGAGTGAAAAATGAAGCAAAATGTCCAATAAATTATTCAAAAAATTTGCATTAAATGTGACAATATATACACAAGCTGCTTCTGAACATTTTTAAATGCAATAAATTTGGTTATATGAAAAATGACAAAAAACTTTTTCTTTAACCGTCTCGCTTATTATCTTTTCAAAATTTTAACGTCACCGTCCAAGAAATAGTGTTTTGTTTTGAATTATTGCTTTTTGGCGTTTTTAGAATCTATTGCGCCATAACTATTTCCTTTTTTTTATCGCGCTATTTAGTGATTATTTCATTCAATTGCCTGATTATTTTTTGTTTAAGTTCTCTTATTTAATTAGGTAAACTTTTAGTTTTTGGAGGAAATTTATTTAATTACACGTATGTCTGATCACGAACAAGACCATGATTTCGCAACCGGAGATGCTGGTGCGTCAGCAACTTATCCAAAACAGTGCTCTGCTCTTCGCAAAAACGAATTCGTTATGATAAAGGGACGTCCGTGCAAGGTTTTATTTTCTTTTAATATTCAATACCCTTAATCTCTAAGGCAAGCAAGATTAGCAATATTCATTAATAAACTTTCAGATCGTTGAAATGAGTACTTCGAAGACTGGCAAGCATGGACATGCAAAGGTTCATATTGTTGCGCTTGATATTTTTACCAATAAAAAACTGGAAGATATTTGCCCATCTACTCATAATATGGAAGTGCCAGTTGTTAAGCGTAAAGAATATCAGGTTTTTCAATATCTTAAATAGGATATCTGTTTTGTCATATCTGACATTTTCTAACCAAAATCAAAACTTTAGCTTCTTGCAATCAATGAGGACGGTTTTGTTAGCATGATGGATTTGGATACTTGTGACACTAAAGACGATCTTCGTATTCCGGTTTTTTAAATCTTTTTATTTCACTATATTTTTTAAATTAATTTAGGAAGGTGAACTTGGTGAACAGATTAAACAAGCATTCGAAAAGGACGAAAATGGAATTCTTGTATAAATTTTGTTTTTTTATCCGCAATTTTAAGCTTAAACCCTAATAATGAAGGTTGTTTTATCGCCGCCTTTTTCTCCTTGTTTTACTTGATTTTTTGGTGGGGGGTTAGAACGCTTTTGAATTGTTCGTTATAAGAACACATTTATAAGGTCAGGGTCGCCAATTGTATGAAAAACATCAAATATATTAACGGTTATAGTATTAAATTTGTGGTTATTTTTTGTTTTTACAAAAATATTAATTTTTTCGTTAAGGTTACTGTTGTCTCTGCATGTGGAGAAGAAGTGGTTCTTGGCTGGAAGAACATGCCAAATCGTGATTAAACGATGAAAATTAATTGATAAGCGGTTGAAGAAGAATTTAAAAATTTGTTTGCTTAAAAAGTGCCGCTAAAAATATTTTTGTTACTTTTCGGTTTTTTAAAATTATTTTTACTTAAAAATTTGGGAAGGGTTTGAGGTTATAAAATGATTATTTTTTTTATTTGTTAACCGAAAAGTTTCAATAATAATAATAGAGAAAAAAACACCAATCCAAACGGGAAAGACGCTCTCCTTAAAAATTGACTTTTATATTGTGTTGGTTATTTAATTATTAATTAAAAAGTAGCAACTTTTTTGTTGTGCTACAGCGTCCCCTTTATTCTCTTTTATTTTGTTGTTCCTCATTATATGTTAAAAAAGAGATGTTCTGATGAAATTGTTGAAAAATATCGGATTTGTTATATTTAGACTTACAAACCGACTTGGATAAAATTAAATTGTTTTTTTGAGACATTTAAATGAGAGAATTCTTATTTGGTCCATCCGTTTTTGGAACTTGGAGAATAGATTTATTTAAATAAATTTAAAAGTAAAAAGAAAATAATTTATTGCCAAAAAATTATAGTGTCAAAAAATTAAAATATTGTTTAGGACATAGGAAGAGCCCGAATTGCAATAAAAAATTGCATTTAAAATTTCTACTACTAAAATTTAGGTGTTTTTATTTTTTATCCCAAAAATATCAAAAAAAATTTATCCCTAAAATAAATTTTTTGACAAGCTAGGAAGTGAAGAAAACTAAAGAATTTGAGTGGAAGTATGTGGATATCTATTTATATTAACACTTGAAAATTCAATTTTGTAGACACAAACCTTTTAGTGTTAGTATATTCTAGTCCCCCCCCCTCTTTTACTAAAATTTGATTTAAAAAGAAATTTTATTAAAAGAAATATTTTCTTTTAAAAGCTTAATCGAGAATGGAGGCGGGAATTTATCTGAAAAAGAATAGCAGCTAAATTGTTAACACAAATACATATTTATTTTAGAATATTACGAATAAAGGACTGCCATCATTTATTGGCTAAATATTCTTGTCTTACGTTTTTAAATGAGATTTTTAAAAAATATTTTGTCTAAATTTAATACTAAATATGCACTCATACATACATACTCTCTTTTACTTTGTCTTTTGCTATAATTTACATATCACATCTGTTTTCAAGGTGGCCAGGAAATAACCGGATACTACCTTATTTATAACAAATTATTAAAGATAACGAGATGAAATAACTCTTAAATAATAAAGGAATAAATAAGCAACAAATATAATCGAGAATTTTCGAAGAGTCGATGAGGTGCTTTGCTTGGATATAGGATTGAAGGCGCGTGGAAAAATTTTGGGCAAAAGTATACACCTCCTCGGACGAGATTTTCACCCATTCCCGAACTTCACCATTCCAAACGTTTGGGATATTAAGCATAGACCGTTGCCTCCAAAATTAACCAACCGGAGTAATCCTCGGATTCATATCCGGTGAGTACGATGGCTTTATCTTAGATGAGTCAAAACCTGTCAAAAAAAGTCAAAACCTGCTGCGCATCAACCCTGCACAACTTTATTCTTTTAAACACGGGATGAATTCTGTTGAAAGAGTCTCTTGACTTGCGAACTTTTGCTCAAAATTTTTCCATGTGTCATCAATTCTGTAAGTGTGGGCAGCTTCGAAAATTCTCGATTATGTTTGTTCCTTATTTATTTCTCTATCATTTAAACTTTAATTAATCTCGATAACTTTATTTAAATAAAGTTATGACATAAATAAGGTGTCCGGTTACTTTCTGGTCACCTTGTACATATAATTTTCATCCATATTTTTTAAACAAACCTTTCTATACATATTTTAATTTAATAATAATTTTTTAATTTAAAACAAATAATCTAAAATATATTCAATAATAAAATAATGGATTTATTATCTCCTTCAATTTCCTCCACTCCAAAAATCGGAACAGATCCATTAACTAGAAAAAGACAATCATTTACTGTTTATGAAATGATTACAAATAATGAGAGAAAACAACAAAAACAATTATTTAATAATTGTTGTTCTTCTTCTTCTTTTGATAATTGGAATGTTAATAATAATAAAAATAATAATTCAAAAATTGGACAGTCAATTCGAGACGTGGTAATTAAAAGAATCAAAATAAAATTGTGTAGTATATTAACTACGGTTATTGGGTACGGCTGGGAATGTGATTGCGAGGCTTTAATTTCGGGGAAAAATTTAGTTGCGTCCAGTCATTAGGGGAATCTCCCAAAAATCGGGAATTCCCAACGTTTTTCGTGTCAGTAATCCCGATCCCCGAATCGACAATTTATTTTTATGCCTGTAGTTATTTAATGACGTGGAAAATAAAATCGTAATTAAAAAATTTTTTTCTAAAGATGAAAGAATTAACATGTCCAACAGTGCAATTTTGTTTTGGAAATAATATAATAAATTCACAAAATTCTTCAAATATTCTCTTAAATAATTTAAAAGATCGTCCAAATATAAATTCAATGCCTTCATTAATAAATGCTTTGACACAAGCTGAACAAACAATTGTTTGTTTAATTTTAAATAAAATTTTAAATTAAAAAAAAACAGATGGAACATAATTATCATTTACAAAATCGAAAACAACAAATTCACCAAAATACTCGTTCACCTTCCGTTAGTGGAAATTTTTCTATTGGACTTACAACAACAACAATTAATAAAGGAAGGAGGTTATCTGAACGTTTAGTTAATGAAAATAATAATGGAATAATTAAAGGTAAGGAGGGGGAATGAGGGAGGGGGGGGGAGGAGGGGGAGAGGGGGGGGAGGGGGGGTATTTTTAAATATAAAAATATATTTATTTATTTACTTTAAATTATTTTTTATTTTTCAATGCCTCATTTCACTCAAAATTGTTATATTTTTAACAAAAAAATAAGAAGAAGAAGCCAATATCCTTTCTTTTTTGAATAAATTATTACCTTTTTTTACTGTGAGAAAGTTAAAAAAATAAAATAAATAAATATTTATTTATTTTAAATTAAAAAAATTATTTATTTTTATTTTTAAATTCTTTTTTTCCTTTATATATTTAATTTAAAAAATTTTTTTGAGAGGTTTCTTATAAATAAAAATATATTTTTTATAAGCGCAGAAGAACTAATCCGATTAACGTTTTCCTCTCTAAACAAAATTAATTAAACAAACTTCTTTTATTTTTTTTCAATTAATTAATTAAATAATTTTTGAAATTAAAAAAATATTTATTTTAATAAGAAATGATTCGCCATTTAAGTATACCAAAACAATCGAGTAAGTGTAAAAAATAAATTTATTTTTGGCTAGGTACAGTGGTGGTCATATGTTTATGGACTACAACCATTTATCAACAAAATCCCTCATAACAAAACAAAATAAGAATAAATCAATAATATAATTCGGTGGTCCAAATGCCCAGTTAATTTGCTATAAAATACCTTAGTTTCATTTAAATCCACCTTCATTATCATAATTAAAACCCGGTCTAAATCTCTCCACCCCTATTTTTAATGCGTCATATGTTTATGGACAAATTAAGTAACTTAGGATTTTCCTACTTTAGTTGGTGCAAAAATTCTACAAAAATTTCTGTGAACATTTTCATAGATACTGAATAGAAAAGTAAAAAGAACGAAGTCTGTATCTACTTTCTTCATCGAGATTTAGGATCTCAAAAATCAACGGGAAATGGGGGTACAGTACTTCAAAAAATATTTTTACCCCCTAGAGCTTTTAAAAAAATTTTCTTTTTGGGCCCATTAAAAATCCCATAAAATTTGCTACAAAATAGTCCTGGTCTCATTTATTCTAAAAAATAGTTGTTCGACTCACATCGACTTTCACATAAAAATGGTCAAAAATCCCTTAAAACACCCCAAAAATGATAACATAAAAATTGTCCTGCCTTCAGCTCCATGAATTTTTATTGGAAAAATAAAAACATTGGCTATTTTGTAGCAAATTTTAAGGGCTTTCAAATGAGCCTAAAACGAAATTTTTTGTTTAAGCCCTAGGGGGTTAAAATATTTTTTAAAGTACTGTACCCCATTTTCCCGTTGATTTTCGAGATTTGATATCTCGATAAAAATAGAAGTTAAAGACTCCGTTCTTTTTATTTTCTACTTAATATCAAAAAAGATGCCCACGGAGTAGCGATAATCTTATTTTTTGGCATTAATCTAAAAAGTTTTAGATAGAAAAAAATTTGTCCATAAACATATGACGCGTTGAAAAAAGGGTTGAGAGATTTAGACCGGGTTTCAATTATGATAATGATGGCGGATTTTAATGAAACTTAAAGTATTTTATACTAAATGAACTGAGTATTTAGATAACCGCTTTTCATTACCGATTGATTCATATTTAGTTTTGTTGTGAGGGATTTTATTAATAAATAAGTGTTGTCCATAAACATATGACCACCACTGTATTTTAAGGCGGGGATTTAATATTTATATTAAGAGATAAGAAGTTATTATACTTCGATAGAGTATTTGCAGTTAGTGAGGAAATTCCTAGTTTAATTGCTAGGAAATTGGTTGTTCAATTCCTGTCCCTAACTAAACTTTTTGATTACCTAACTTAATTAAAAAAATTAATTTTTTCTTTAAAAAAGGCCGTTTGGAACGTTCAAATTCTGTTTTGAGTAGTCGAAATGGAAACACAAATTTAAATTTTATACCAGAACTAACTCCACAACAAGTTTCTAGTAAATAAATTTAAATATTTATTTTTTTTAAATTAATTATTTAAAAAGATTTACGTCGTTCATGGAAGCATATAAACACAAAAGGACTTTATGATGTAATTAGGCGGGCCTTTTCTAAAGTTTTATTTTCTTTTAAAATTTAAAAATTATTTTTAAATAAAAAGTTGGAAAGTTCTGCCCCAAATGTTCGTTCTGCATTTAAAAATAATTATTTGGATAATCAACAACAAAAAAATATTGGGGGAATATCTAAATGTGGGGTTATGGAACATACAAGGCTAGAAAATTAATTTAAAAAACTTTTAATTTATATTTTTTAAAGATTTTTTCTTTCTTTGATTGATAGAATTATTGAAGGAGATAATGAAGTAAATAAATAAATTTATTTTTTTTGGTTAAAGTGAAAGAAAATATTTTTAGTTCTGTATAAAAATTTCGAAGGAGATCTCGGGGAAATTCTGCCACGAGGGGGGGGGGGGCGGGGAATATTCAAAAAACTCGCAAATTCCCCGACCTTCAGGGATGGGGTACAACCCTAGTAGACAGGTAGGGAGGGAACCAAACCGACACTTAATTTACTTCATTATTTTTTTAAAAAAAGGGAATTGAATGCGAACTTCGATTAATTGGTGCTCGTCATGTTCCTTGTTATGAATATTTTAATTTAAGTGTTACACAATTAGAACAATTAGGGGAAGCTTTGGCTGAACAATTTTTTAAATTGGATGGAATAAGGCAAAGCAAAGAAACTACAAAAGTAAGGGGCTTAGTTTCCAAACTTTTTTAATATAGTATAGGAAAATTTCTTAAATATTTTTTATCAGGTTTGGCGTACATTAATTGCCCATATAATTGATTATATCCGTGATGGATTTGAAACAGAATTAAGATTAAAAAGAAGAAAAAGAACAACAAATGCATTATTGGGAAATTGTGGAGATGCTGCTGGGGTTGTTGGCCCTCCAACTGTTGAAATGGCTTTGGCACCCTTTGAATCTAAATTTTTAAAGTAAAATTTTTAAAATTGGCTTTAATTGAAAATAAGGGCTAAATTTAATTTTTAAAAATTAATTTGTTGGATAAGGCAAAAATGGTGATCAGTTTTCCGATGCTTTCATACAGGAAACCTTTTTCTCTTATCCCTCTTTATTTTCTAAGAGCTAGAAGAAAAAATATATAATAAAAGTAACTTTATTCAATCAAATAATGAAAGAATTTGCTTTATCCCTTTATTTTTCAGATAAATTTATTTATTTTAATTTAAAGAAGGAATTCAATGCCCGGCCTTAAAAGGCAATCATCTTCGATTACTTCAAATACTCTTACTACTTCTTCCATAGCTACAACTTCAACAAAAACAACAAATAAAAAAGAAAAAAATGGACCTTTCTTTAAAACAGAATTAACAAATATTACAAGAAAATTATGTAATATGTAGTAAATTTATTTTAATAAAAATACGGGGAAATAAAAATTTTAGAATTTTTTTGTTTATTTTGAGTTTAATAAAATAATTTTTTTAAATAATTTTCTTCCTTATTTTTTAATTTTAACAAAATTGTTTCTTTTATTTGAAGAAGAAAAAAGAAACTAAAATTATTTTTTTTGGTTGTCCTCAATCTTTTATAAATATTTTATTTTCAATTAATTGAGGATTAGTATTTAAAAATTGAAGGTTAAAAAATTATTTTATTTTTAAGAAATTAAAATAAATTTTTTTAATTAATAAAAAATGGAAAATTTAACGAAATTTAAGGAAGAAGGAATACTCATTAGTTTTTCACTTATTTTATTATTAAACAATTATTCTCCAACTTTTGTGTTTTTTATACTTCGTAGTTGCTCATAAATAATTAAATATTTTTTATTAAAAATATTTAATTAAATATTATTTTTAAATAAATATTTCTTTTTAAAATTATTTATTTTCTATCGGTCACATTTTTTCAATTGTTATTTAGAAAAGAGCGAGAGGAGGGAGGTGGAGGTCCTTGTTTGTGCCAGGAAGAGAAAGAAGAGTGACAGCCATATATAAATAAATATATTTATTTTTAAACAATTAATAAAATAATTCTCTCTTTTCTTTTTTTTCTAATTTTACTCACAAAAATGACCGGCCATTATCGTCGCCATAATAGTCGCGCGCTTGCCGGTCGTGCAATCCAATCCCTCCTCCCTCCCCTCCTCTTTCTACATTATTATTCATCGGACCAATCTTTTACCCTCACAATGACCGCTCTCTCAATATAATTATTTATTTATTCGGCCATTCCACTTTAAAAAAATAAAAATAAATAAATAAATAAATATATTTTTAATATAATCTACTTATTATTGTTAGATAAATTCTTTTTAAATTTAATATCCAGTACTTATTTATAATATCACACCCCCACTTCCTTTTTATCTGTCAACCATTTTGCTCTCAAATATTTAAAGTAAAAGGCAATTTGGAGATCAGCAAAACGAAAGTGAGAGAGCCTCTCTCTCAAAGGGCCTTTTTCCCCTCCTCCCAAGACCCGATGAAAATATCCCAAAAATACATAAATGAACTTTAAAAGGAAACAAAATCTTTTGATGTAATCTTGAACGCAATTGTAATTTTGAACTATTTCCTGTTATTTCTTTTTCACATCTTGACCTACTAAATTAACAAAATAAAAAAATATTTAAAAGTATTTATTTTTTATTTTAATTTAAATTGGATTAAAATAAAATAAATAAATCCTTTCCCTATTACAATTTATTACCAAATTGTTACGCAGATATTTCTTTTCTCTATTTAAAAGACTTCTTTCATATCCGCACACTTCTTTTAAAATTATTTTTATTTATTTAAAATCGCCACACACTCCATCCATATATTCATTCAAAAATAAAAAGAGGTTAAGGATTTAGAAAAGAAGAAAATAAATATCTAATAAATAAATATACATAACTATCTAAAATTAAAATATTAATTATTTTATTTTGAATTAACTTTCTTTTGCCATTATTTAACCAAAAATTTAAATTTATTTTAACAATTTACTTTTAATATTTTTAATTTAAAATATATTTATTTTCTTCATTTCTTCAATTATATTTTAAATTATTTGCACATCTACATCCCCACCCTCCCCCCAACTTCCCCTTTCCAATTTCGATTTTTATCTTCCAAAAATAATATACTATGTACAATCTAATGCCATTCCTCTTTTTCTCGACTTTATGTTCAACATCTGCCATTTGGTTTAAAATAGCTTCCCTCAGAGAAAGATTTTAAATAAAATATATTATTTTATTTATTTTTACATATAAATTTTTAAATTTCTCTAGCAATTGGCTTAATTAAAATATTTAAAGTTGGGTTGTTAATAGGATTGGATAAAATTAATTTCGAGTCAAGATTAAAATTTTTAACACAGAGAATGTCAAAATTTGATCAGAATTAAAAATTATTAAAAAAACGAAGAATATTTAAATAAATTATTTGTGTTCTAATTAATTTCAGGCTTAGATTTTCAGGCTAGGATTTCAGGCTGTTCTAATTAATTTCAGGGCTTTCTAAAACTTTTTGACAGTTAATAGAAATCGGGAATCGATATCCGAACCGAAGATTTAGAATATCGGGAAATGGAAAATATCTTCCGAAATTTTAACTTAAATTATTTGGACTTTAAACTGTCCAAGCAAATATTTAAATCAATTCCAAGGAACCTTTGATCGAATCGAAGCATGTATTTAGGCTTTCTTCGGTTTCGATGTCCGTAACAGGCTTACAGGGTTACGCAAAATCCATACACAAAACTGAAAAAAACACAAAACCAACTCGAGGAAAATTTTGAGAATTTGGACATTTAATTAACCTTTAAATTTTTTTATTTTTTCCAATTAAAAAAAATTTTTTTAAAGGTTCTACTAAAATAAATAAATATATTTATTTGTTTCTAAAATTTTATATATTTTTTTCTTCCATTATTTCCTTACCAAATAATTTTTGCTTCAATGATTATAATTTAAAAAAACTATTTTGTACATTCCTTCTTCTACTCTTTTTACTTGTTTTTTTTTCTTATTTATTTCCTTTTTTATCAAAATTCTAAAAAAAATTTTTTGTTGAGCTAATCAACATTAAAATAAAAATATCTTTAATGCTCTGGAACTGATTAGAGAGGGTATTTTTTGAAGGAGAAGAAAGATAAATAAAAGGAAAAATAAGATAAAAATAAATAAAAATATTTATTTTTCTTATCAGAAATTGATAAAAAAATAAAAAATAAATTCTTTTTGTTTGGCTTAATCTGTTTTTAAATATTCTTCTAAATTTTGTTTAAAATTGTTTTTACAAATGTGAAAGATTATTTTTTATTTTTCTTTTATTCTAATTAATCCCTCTTCTTATCAGATTTAAAATTTAATCATTTTTTAAAATTTTTGAATGATTTATTTTAAAAATTCCTAAAAACAAATTTTTGTTAAAAAGCGGTTTTTGTTGTTGTGAATAAGGAAGTTGGGAATAAAAAAAGAAGAATATTTTTTTATTTTTTGGGAAAAACCTTTCTTCTTCTCTTTTCTCTTCCCTCTTCTCTAATAAAAAAACTTTAACAAAAATTCTTCCAAAAAACCGCAAAAATATTAAAAAAACCTGTTTTTATTTATATATTACCACAAATAAATTAACTATTTTCTTTTACTAGCTAATTTTATTCCCAAAAGAATTCCTAGAAAATTACAAAAAATCTTCCCCCTTTTCCGATCATTCTTTTTTGTCCAAATATTATAAAACACACCTGTGAATATGGGGAAGTTGGATGGGGGGAAGTTAGGTAGGCTAATTTACATAGATTTTAAAGTTTAAATTTTATGGGAGTTTTTTCTTATTGATTTGTTTGTTTTTTGTTTATTTTTCGTTAAATTTGATAACAATTTTCCTTAAAATTAAAAATTTAAATATTTTAATAAAATTTTTACTATTTAATTCTCAAAATATTTAGATTTTTTTCTATTTAAAATATATTTAAGTATTATTTTTATTTTAATTTTCTGGATGTCCTTGATTCCCTCTCTGTCATTAAAGTTTGACAAAAACAAAATATAAATTATATTCTTAAAAAATATTTGGACAGATTGAAGGTCGAAAAGAGGGGAAAATAAATAAATAAATAATTTAGTGACTGTCAATTATTTATTTATTTTTATTTTTTATTTTCCGCATTCTCGCAATAATTTTTCTCTTTTTTATTTTAAATATATAAACAATAATTAATCATTTATTCCTTTCCGGCTTTTCTTTAATAATAAAAATATTTTTTTAAAGAATCTTTCAAAAATATCTTCTAATTAATTTTTACTTTAAGTAAATTTTATTTCTTTTTATTTTTAAAATATTAATTTTATCAATTTATTCAAACTTGCATGAATATCCCATAAACTATAATTAATGAGTAATTAATTTTTATAATTTTTATAAACCGCCGGAAATCTCACCTTTTTATCTCTTGGAAGGAACTTATTTTTTATTTTTTATTTTCCATTTAGCACAGAATTTATTTTAAAATATTTACAATAAAATAAAATGCTGTCAATAAAAACTCTATTTTTATAATGAACATTTCTTCGATCCCTTCGAGTTCTTTATATCGAGATTCGAAGAATTACCTATATATTTAATTTCACATTTCTAACAACATAATAAATTTGATTTTTTTCTTTTTAACAAAAAATAAATTAAAAAATAAGAACATATTAAATACAACAACAATAAATATATTTATTTATTTATTTTTATTTTTTCAAAAAAATACAAAAGAAATCTAAAACAACCAATTTTCTTTTTACTATTATTGCCCAACAAATTTATTTTTCCCCTCTACACAAACAAATAAAAAACATTTTCTCGTCTTGCAATAAAATAAAAAATATTTTTTTGTATTTAGTTGTACCAGTCTATTTAAATAATTAATTAGAAAATTAAAAAATAAAAATATTTTTATTTATTTAAGAATATTCCTAAAAAATAGTTTTGATAATTTTCTTTATTTTATTAAATTTTTAAATTAAAAAAGAAATTTTAAAAAATATTTATTTTCTTTTTTTATAATTCTGAATCTATTTATAGATTATTTAAGAAAATAAAAATATTTTATTCAAAATTTTTATTTCAATTTATTTATTTAAATATATTTACAAAAGAATTTTAAAAATAAATTTTTTTTTATTTTAATTGATTTAATTTTTGGTTTTTTTATCAAATACATATCACAATTTTATGATGATAATAAATAAAAGAAAAGTTTTGATTAAAATTTGAAAATAAAAAAAATTAAAATTTAAATATTTCTTTTTAAAATTTTCTCTTTTTTTATTTAAATAAATTACCCAAAAAATATTTTATTTAAAATTCTTTTACAAAAATACCTTTCCTATTTTTACTTTAAATGTTTTTTTGTCAAAAACTTTGAAAATATATTTAATTAAAGTGTTTTTTCTTTGTAAATTTACAAACCTGTTTAACTAAACTAAAAATTAATTTTTTTTATTTTCTTTTTATTTTCATTTAAATTAAATTTCTATATCAGCGTTGGGTCTTGGGTCTTTTGCTTATCTCTGGTAAACCAGCGTACGGACGAGTCGTGAAAAATAAAAATATCGGGTCGAAGTTCGGGGTTAATTAAAATTCCTTTTTCAGTCTAAAATTTTATGAAAAGTTTCTAAGATTTTGGTTATTGGATAGTTAACCCTACTTTAAGGAAAAGGGGGATTTACCTGGCACAGCCAATTAAATATATCCTTTACACTATACCATTTTTTAATTTTTAAAGGATTTTTAATTAAAAAATGTCAATTAAATCACCCTCCTCACCACAATTTCAATTAAAAAATTCCTGGAATAATAATAATCAAATTAATATAAATAATCAACAACAAGAAAATTTTTCTGGAATTAGGAGGCATTATGAAAGGTTAATTAATATTTTATTTAAAATTGGAAATAAAATTATTTATAAATTTAAAAATGGAAAGTATTTGAATTAGGAGACAATAATTATTGTAAAATTCTTTTAAAAAATTTTGACTCACTTTTTATAATTATTTAAATCTCCAATTTATATATCAACCTAGAAAATCTTTTAAACTCTCAATTTAATATAAAAATATTTTTAGGCATATTCGACGATTAGAACGTTATAGAAAGGCTAGATCTTTTTGCTCTATTTCTGATGGAAGTACTAGTACAAATAGTGGAAATAATACAAATAATTATGAACAACAATTAAATTATTTTTCTTCATCTTCTTCCTCAAAAATTAATTTAGAAAGCCAACAAAAAGTAATTGTTTAAATTAAAATTCTTTTTGCATTAAGAGGTCGAGCTTACTCCCACCCTTATGGTTTTTCAATCTTTCGGGACCTATAACTCGGTCCAGAATCATTTCCTAAAATAGTTAGTGGTGCCTTTCGACTCAGCTCGTGGAGATGAATCGAATGACATATGTCATGTCCCGAACTTTTACCACTAGTACACTACAGCCGAAAATATTTTTAATTTATAAACACTAAAAATCGTAAAACGTGTATTACAATGGCATCCTAATACAATGATTCGTGGTGACTGTTGAACTAAATTAAATGTATGTAGTTGATTTAGAAAATATTATGTAAAATTTAAATATATTTTTAAATATTATTTTTTCAGTTGAATGAAGGAAAGAATAAAAATTGTGAGGATATAAACATTACTATTTTAAATAAAAGTACTGACAACAACAATATTTATATAAATTCTAATCAAAACGATCAATTTAATAAAGATGAACAACAATTTGAAGATTTGAAGGAAAAAATGGTAAATTAAATTAATTATTTTTGTATAAAATATTTAAATTTATGTAGATGATGTTAGTTGAGAATGATATTGTATTGTTGGCTAAATTATTAAGGTATTTTACATATTAAAATTTTAAATAAAAAATTAATTAAATATATTAAAGCCTTGGAGACACTTTAAACGAACTTAGACAATACCAACAACAACAACAAAAATATAATAATAATATTCCACCAACTTCATCCTTTAATAATTTATCAATAAAATTAGAAGAAAATAATGAAGATTTTGTTGATGAATGTAAAGATGAATTTAAACCTTTAAACGAAGAAAATATAAAACAAAAAATATCATTTTTAAATGTAAAACAACGAAAACAACAAAAACGTTATCCAATACCGCCAGAATTTGGGGAAGGAATAACTAGAGTTTATGTTGAAGAAGAAGAAGAGGAAAATAAAAATGAAGAGGATGAAGATGAAGAAGGGGAAGAGGAAGGGGAAGGAGAACATCCAAATATTCAATATTTTTCTCGGAAAAATTCGGTAATTCTTATTTTTTTTAATTTTCTTTTTAATTTTTATAGGTATTGAGAATACCCATTCCTCCAAGGTCAAGCAATCGAGCGTTTGCCTCCAGAACAAAGGTAATGAATTTTATAAATTTTAAAACAAATTATATTATACAAAACAAAAGTACATATTTTGATAATATCTTAAACTAATATGAAAATCGCCCCTCCCTTTTCGGCTTCATTAAATACTTTATTAAATTTAATTTTTTCAAGCAAAATTTACTACCATCTACTTCTACTAACCAAACATCAACAAAAATTATTAACCACCAACAACAAAAATTTCCATCCCCTCAAATATCTCCAAAAGAAATAATTAAAGACTTCATTGAATCAACATTTGCCACAACAGAAATCGATTCTGGCCATTCCTCAGCATCCGAACATCCCTCCCCTGCACCCCCTTTAATTATCTCAAAAGAAGAAAAACAACAAAATTCTTCAAGATTTTCAACACTTTCCTCTTCTGGTCTTTCATCTGCTCCAAGTTCTTTATCTGCCTGTAGTTCTCGGAATATTTTTGATATTAATTCTAATCAAAACGGTTTTTAGATAAATAATTATTTATTTTATTATTATTTAATTTTTAGTTAAAAATAAACAAAAAAATACAGAAATTCAAAGAACGATGGAAAATAAAGATTTTATTAAAGACAAATAAATATTTAAATATATTTGCATTTATTTTCGTTTTTAATGTGAAATTAAATTTTTTAATTTGTTATTTTTTAAATTAGATTGAAAAGTTAAATTTGCATTACAGTATCATTTAAATTTAAAATTCATCGAAACGCGTGCTGAAACGTCCTGTCACAAAATTAACAAATTTTATAAGACTCAAGTGGCATTTTAAATTTGAAAAAATTTTGAAAAAAGGGGAATTCAGGAAGGCAAGTATAAGGGTTGCTTTGGGCTGAATTTTAGATTTAATTGGTCGATCTGGTTTGGGGTTGGGTATGTCATTCAGTATTTCAGAGCTTTCCAAAGATTTTGATTGAAAATTTTGGGAAGTACTTTCGTTTTTTGTACAGTTTTTGTTTCCGTTTCGCTATCCTTCCTTTATTCAAAACGACTCTGGATATAGAAAGATCCAGGCTTTTGTTCAAACTATTATAATATATTTAATTTAATTTTTTTAGAATTCAATATTGCTTATTTACTCTTTAAATGGTGAATACAAGTAAATTTGGCCGTGGACGTGGGCGTCTAATCTGCAGAGCACCCTCTAGAGAAATTCAACAAGTATATGGACAATGTTTCTACCGGAGAGAAGAAGGACGTGACCAGACTTACCGAAAACCCAGCAGACCTCTAGTTCCGGAAAACAAATCAGAACTTGAAAAATGGGAACCACGGGTAAAAAATAAAAGTAAAATTAAATAGAAAAAATTATTTTCGAAGGTTATGAGCCCTGAAGGTATTGTTGACATTGCAAGACAATGTATCGAAGTGACCGACACATTCATAAGTTTGGACGTTTACTTGGACAGAAATAAACAATTTAATTCTTCGAATCTGGAACAACTTCGGGTTTTTTTTATAAAATATTTTGTTAAATAAATTTTCTAGGAAAAACAACGACGTCAAAATCCATTGAAAGACGTTAATCCTTCTAAATACATTGAATTAATTGCACAATGCGAGGCTAACCCAGGAAAGTTCCCCGGAACTTTGTATTGTCTAAAGCTGGTATTGGGGGAAGCACAGTTAAATGAATTTGTACGAAACATTGGTTGGACAGAGGATCAATTGAGAGAATGGAATATCACGTGAGAGAAATTTTAAATTTTATAAATTTATAAAAGGGGTTTTGGAAAGTAAAAAGTAAGTGTCGAAATAATAATTAACATTTTTGCTTTTCTTGCGGTTAATTCATAGAAATTTAAAAAATAATTTCCTCCTCCAAATTTAAAAAAAATTTTCTTCTTTTTATAGAACAGATTGGGAAATGTACAATAAAAGATTAGATAGTAAGGCAGCAACAGATGAAACAAAAACGTCATCTTCATCGTTTAACCAACAATATGGGGCAGAAAGTAGTGGAGGGATTGCATTTTACTCTTATCAATAAAATGATTGGTGGTGATATATACAAAGAGAGTTTTTTACAAAAAAAAATATTTTTTTTGATGACTGACGATTGTTTTTTTTGGTTATAGAAAGGTATTTTTAGTTTATAACTTTTTTTAATAAAAATATATTTTTTGAGAGAGAAAGAATTGCCATTTAAAAAAGGCTTGGAGGCTTTTAACAAAAACATTTTTTAGGGATATGCCCTTTTCCTTATTCTTTTTTTTTTGCTGAAAAAGCTGTCACGCGTCAAGAAATCAATAATTTTATTATTAATTTTTAAATATTTTTCACAAAATTTTAATTGAAATTTCCAAAATTTTTAAAAATATTTACGTCTAAAAAATTTCGGTAATTTAAAAGAATATTTTGAAAAATGATTTTCGGATTTGTTAACACATGGACGGGGTATTGTGAATTATATGTAGGGGCAAACGTCTCGCCGGCGGCCATAGCCTTACGTTGTTTGTCTTTTGTGTCGTAACTTTGTCCAAACTTGTTTCATTTGAGCTGATTTTGGTGTCATTCAACTCAGCTCGTCGAGCTCTCTCGAATGACACCTCAATCGACCAAATCGGTCCAGCCAACAAAAACTCCCTTTTAAGTCACAACATTCCATGGAACCCTAATAGTAGTAATTAATTTGCAATTGAATAATTTTTTTAAATTAAATAGGAGATTGATATAAAAATAAATTTCTTCTGATTTTTAAAAAATATAAAATGAAAGAAAAAAATAAAGGAATAAGAACTGAATAATTGATACAGAAAAAGTGAAAAATGTTTGGGGGGAATTAACAATGGTTTCTATTTGGAATTCTTTTTCCTTTCTTAAAAACCTTCCTTCCCTTCCATTCCTCCCACGTTTTCCGCTTTTTTTTCTCTATCACAAAATTCCACGACTACATGATTTTCCTTTCATTCTTTAATGAAAAAAGGAGAAAATGAATATATGCAGCTGCGCTGGCCATTTTTGTTTGGCATCAGCGTGTAAAAATTGGCAAAAAAAATTAAATGGAAAGGGAAGAAAATATAACAAAAAAGAGAGCTTTTCTTTTTATATATCTTCAGTATTTATTTCTTTCTTTTTTAAAGATATTTTATTTATTTATTTAGAAGAAAAAATATTTTTGACCATAATTATTTTTATTTAAAATATTTTTTAAGTAATTAACACATAGAGAAACATTTTATTTTTTAATTACAGTCTTTTTTAATTAAAAACTTTATTTTTTTAAACAATCTCTACTACATTGTTTCCTAATGCTTAAAACTTGTTAAAAATTTATTTAAAATTTAAAAAAAAATAAAATTCTAAAAATTGTTTTCAAAAAAATATTTAAATTTTATTATTCCAATCCAATTATTTCTGTGCTAGGCCACAGCTGCTAGCTATTAAATTCAAAAAAGAATTTATCCAAAAATAATTTTTTATTTTTTTAATAGTTTTTTCCATTATTTCTTCTCAAAAGGAAAAGATTGTTGCTGAACGTAAGGGGGCTTCAGTGGGGAGTGGCCCCCATGCTGCTTCCATTATTGGAAGTGGTGGTGGTGGCACTCCAACAAAAAGAAGGAGTGGAAGTGCCGGTAAACGCGACCATATCAAACAACAAAATTCTTTATTGGCCAAAGCTTTGGGTAATTCTACACCTCCACCAATTTTACAACAAAATTCCCGTTCACAAAGTGGAGGGGGAGGGGAGTCTATTGGGAGTGGAGGTAGGGAATAGGTGAAGTTTTTTGGAGAGATTTTATTTTAAAGTTAATACATCATTACCTAATACACCCTCACCACCAATGTATTCTTCCTCTTTGGAAAAGATTGGAACCCCAACAATTGAGAATGCTTCTCCAGTTGTTGCTGCTCCTTCATCTTCTTCAAGTTCTGAAGACCAACAAAAAGATTATTGGGTTGCTCTTTTTGGTATGTTTTTTAGTAAAAGTGAATAAATAATTAAAAATAAAAAGGTGCTGGAGGTGTTGGGAAATCTTCCTTAGTTCAAAGATTTATTAAAAATACATTTACCGATGTTTATTCTCCAACAATTGAAGATACATACCAACAAGTAATTTTTAAAGAAATTTAAAAAAATTAAAAATAAAGAATTTTTTGTAGGTAATTAATTGTAGTGATCAAGGTAGATTAGCTGTCTGTACCCTTCATTTAGTTGATACAACTGGTTCTCATCAATTCCCAGCAATGCAAAGACTTGCAATGCAGAGAGTTTTTATTTAAAAATAAATTTAATAAAAAATAAATTTTAAAAGGGAAATGCTTTTATTCTTGTTTATTCAATTACTTCAAAACAAAGTTTAGAAGAACTTGGACCGATTGTTAGAACAATTAAAGAGGTGGATAATTACAACTTGTGGGGGGGGGGGGTACTTAATGTACACTATATATTCTCTGGGGGTTATATTCATTATAATATTGAGAAACAGATTTAAACTGTATTAATTTAATAATTTTTAGACAAGAGGAGATGAGGCGATAATGGAAGTACCGATTGTTTTGGTTTTTTTTTAGTTATTAAAAATTAAAAACAAAAATTTCTTCAAAGGTTGGAAATAAAATAGACGAATCAACAAAAAGAGAAGTTAGTTTTGAAACAGGCGAAGCATTGGCACAAAGATGGGGGTGTGGATTTGTTGAAACAAGTGCTAAATTGGGGCAAAATATAACTGAGTAAATATATATTTGGAGGGGGAGGAAGGGGGGTTGGAGGGGAGGGGGGGAATGGAAAGGGATTTAAATATATTTTTGGGGAATTATTTCTAATAAAAAATAAATTAAAAAAAAGATTATTTCAACGTTTACTTTCATTGGAAAAAAGGAGAAATTTAACATTAAATGCAACAGATTTAATAAATGAAAAAGGAGGAGAAGGAGGAGGAATTAATAATTTAATAAATTCTTCTTCTAAACAAAAACGTTGCGCCATAATTTAAATTATAAATAAATAAATCAGGGCTGGGCGAAATCTAAAAATAAAATTTGAAATCCGAAATGCGAAACTTTTCGCGCTAAAAAATGTGAAAAATGCGAAACTCTAAAAGCAAAATGGGAAGTTCACCCAGCCCTGATATAAATATTTACAGATATATTCTATTTAATAAAAAATAAATATTTTTTAACATTTTTAAAATTATTTAGTTTATTTTAGACATTAAAATAATTAATTAAAGATTTTTTTAAATTTAAAGTGTGTTTTGCTTTATAAAATAATCGATATATATATATAATTTACTTTTTATTTTTTCGTTGCCGTGATCTTATTATTTTTTATTTTTACTTAAATTTTAATTGATTTTTAATTTTAAGATTTATTAGTTAAGAATCAAATTTATTTCTTAAATTTTTATTTAAAAACCATGGTCAATGTTCAAATTACTTTCAAAGCACATAAAAATAAAAGAACTACTTCTTAATCAAATATTAATTTATTACATGTCCATGGTTTTTAAATTTCCATTTTTTATTATTGACTCAATATATTTTGTTTCTTAGACATTATAGTATTTATTTTTAAATTTAATTGTTTTATTTTTAAATTTTAAGATTTATTATTTGAGAATCAAATTTATTTCTTAAATTTTTATTCAAAAACCATGGTCAATGTTCCTATTTCTTCCAAAACGCCAAAAAATAAAAGAACTGCTTCTTAAGTAAATATAATTTTTACATGTCCATGGTTTTTAAATTTCCATTTTTTATTATTGACTCAATATATTTTGTTTCCTAGACATTATAGTATTTATTTTTAAATTTAATTGATTTATTTTTAAATTTTAAGATTTATTATTTGAGAATCAAATTTATTTCTTAAATTTTTATTCAAAAACCATGGTCAATGTTCCTATTTCTTCCAAAACACCAAAAAATAAAAGAACTGCTTCTGAAGCAAATTTTTCCCCTCTCTCAAATTCCAATGACAACAGCAATTCAACAACAGAAAATACTGACTTAATCAATTCGCTTGTTGACTCTCAAGTGAATTTGGTTAATACAACTTTACAATCTATTAATGAATTAATTCCTACATTGACAACAGAACAGACACCAATTCTTCAAAATTTTATTGCTACTATTACAGCTCAATTTGATTTGTTAACCAAATCGATCAATATTCTAAAAAAGCAAAAACAACAACAACAACAGCCACTTTATGGACAACCTCCTGCTGCAGCAAATCAATATGCTATTACAGCAGAAGAATTAGAAAGACAACGCAGTATTGTCTTGAGTGGGCTACCTGAATCAACAAAGCAACTTCCCTCAGAACGGATGGCTGATGATGTTGTGGCAGTGAAACATCTACTCGATACGGTGGGGATCGAGTGCACTCCTAAAAGCATTTTTCGTATGGGAGTGTTCAAGCAACCCACCACTCAACGGTCAAGATTGTTAAAAATTATTTTTCCTACACGATCTTTTCAGTCAGATGCAATCAAACAATGGAAAATTAAAGGAAAGAAAATGTTTCAACACCTCAACATTCGCCCTTCATTGACATTGGAACAACGAAATCGCAGAAAACACTTAATTGACGAGTGCAAGAAGAAGAGGCAAGAAAATCCTGATCAGGATTGGATTGTTTATGCAGACACAATTATTTTGAGATCGGAGGTACATATTTTTCGTAAACAAAATTAGCCAAAGCAATAAACTAAAAAAATTCTTTATACCTGGGGCTCCAAATAAACTAAGCGGAAATATTAATATCGATAACAATAGTCCAAAAAATAATTCTTTTAAAAATAGATTAAGTTGTATTTATCAAAATGTTCGATCCATTAGAAACAAAATTCCCGAGTTAGACTTACAAATAGCCACCCATAATCCTAATATTATTTTTCTTAGTGAGACATGGTTAACAGAAAATGATAACCATTTATCGTATTTGACGTCATCAAAAAATTACCACATTTTATTAGCTAATAGAGATACTAACTTTAAGTCAAAGGGTGGTGGTGTAGCTATATTGATCAAACATGGTATCCCATTTAAACAAATAGAACTTACAAAAATACTTGGTATTGATGTTTTAGCAATCGATATTATTACACCATCACATAAAAACTCTATTAGAATTGTTTTAGTATACAGACCCCCCAATATCAAAGATTTAATAACTAGAAAGCTAATTAACACTTTACAAACAATTTCCCATGGTAATGTAATAATCATAGGAGATTTTAATTTTAACTCAAACATCATTGATTGGAAATCCATTACCGCTAGTAACCAAATGGGAAAAGAATTTCTAGAATTTTTAAGTAATTTCAATTATTCCAATAATATTTTCACTTCTACACATTGCAAGGGTAGTACCTTAGATCTTATTTTAACTAATAATTCTTCATGCTTTGAAACTTCTGTTATAGAAGGACTTTCTACATCTGATCATTTCTCTATTAAATTTTTCATCGAAGCTCTCCCTCCACCACACCAAATAATCAAATATAGGGATCTCTCTAATATAAATTTATTAAATACCCACCTAATAAGAAACTTTGATAAAATCTATGAAAACTTTTTTATTTCTGATAAATATTCATTTTTTGCTAAAACTATTAATGAATTATTGGAAATTTATGCTCCTATTCGTAACACAAATGTTAAACCTTTTAAGCCTAAATATCCACAATATATTAAAAAATTAATAAAAGACAAAGAACGAATATTTAAAGCTTATAAAAAAGACAATTCTATAGACTTAAACCAATACAAGAATTTGACTAAAACTACTAAGCATCTTATAAATAATTATCAGTCACAACGTATAAAAAATTTAGTTTCTAATCAAAATAACCTGTTTAAATTTTTAAATAAATTTAACTGTAAAAAATCTCAACTATCTTGTATTGAATTAAATGACAAATTTATATTTGAAGATAAAGCTAAAGCTGATGCATTCGCTTCTGTTTTTTCAAAGTCTTTTTCAAATATTCCAACTTTCGTTTGTCCTAAGCTAACAAATTACAATATTAATTCATTCTTGGATGACATTGAATTTAGCATATTAGACATTGATAACATTCTAAAATCTCTACCAAATAACAATTGTGCTTCAGATGATAATTTAAGCTATAATATCCTAAAATCATGTCGTGCTGTAATATCTCCTTTTCTATCAGATCTTTTTAGAGAATCACTGGACGCAGGTAACATTCCAGATTTATGGAAAATTTCTCATATTACTCCTATTTTTAAAAAAGGTTCAAAAACTGACCCGTCTAACTATAGACCAATAGCTATAACTTCTGCCATAAGTAGAGTCATGGAACGATTAATACTTAATCACATTATTGAACATCTTAATGTTAACAATATTATTGTTGATAGTCAATTTGGATTCATGAAAAAACGCTCGACCACCCTTCAAATGCTGTCTAACTTCAATTCCTGGTATGATGCAATCTTGAACAATAAAATAATCGATTGTATTTTCATTGATATAAAAAGTGCATTTGACTCAGTCCCCATAAAATTTTTAATTAATAAGTTACATACCATTGGTATAAGAGGTAAAGTACTGAATTGGATTTCTAATTTTTTAAATCACCGTACAGCCAAAGTTAAAATTAACAATCAATTTTCGGAAACTATTCAATTATACTCCGGTGTGCCTCAAGGCACAATCTTAGCTCCAGTTCTCTTTATTATATACATCAATGACTTATCAAGCTCTATTCCTACGTCTATCAATAGCTCACTTTTTGCAGATGATCTTAAGATTTATCAATGTCGTAATAAAAATGATTCATCTAATCTTCAATCAAGTTTAGATAAAATTTCTAAATGGTGTTCTGATAATGCTCTAGAAATTTCTTTTAACAAAACTCTAGTCTTACATATTGGTACTAATAATCCTAAACATAACTACTATTTCAATGGTCTACCATTGCAATGTGTTTCTACAATCTCAGATCTAGGAATTGATTATACAGATACCTTATCTTTTGAACCTTATTATAAAAAAATTGTAAAAAATGCCTATTTTAGGGGTATGTCAATTATTAATAATCTTCACACGTCTAATCCCAAAATTTGGGGTATGGCATTTAAAACATATATTAGGCCAATTTTGGAATATTCTTCGGTTATATGGAATCCCAAAACTAAAAAACATAGAGAAAAATTAGAAAAGGTGCAAAAATGGTATACAAGGGTGGCTCTTTTTAAGTGTAAGATCCATAAGAAAAACTATATCCAAAGATTAAAATTATTTAATCTCGAATCACTGGCCCTCAGAAGAGTTTTATTCGATTTATCAACTATTTTTAAGATCATTAAAAATCACACCCACTTTACTTCTTCACAATTCTTTATGTTATCTGATAGACCTAATAGGAATAGACATAATTATCAAATAAAAGTAGCTCGTAAAACCTCCAAAACTGAACACTGGATCTTTAACAGATCCATTAATCTCTGGAATGCCCTACCTATAGAGATTGTTAACATTGATAACTATAAGCTATTTTGGAACAGCCTTAGATCATACCTTATAGAACTAGAAAGTACCAATGATAGCCTTCTATATTATCGCTATTGATATTAAAAATCAAAACTAACCTTACCCCCTACCCACTCCCCCCACCTACCCTCTCCCTCCACCTACCCACTCCCTCCACCTACCCACTCCCACCACCTACCCACTCCCTCCACCTACCCACTCCCTCCACCTACCCTCTCCTCCCTCTTCACTCCCATCTAGCTTTTATACTTCACATCTTATATTCCAATAATAGCCTCTTTACTATCGATATTAATATTTCTCCAAACAATAACCCAGTTCAGATAATAATACTTTTCTCAGGCTTTAAAACGGCTGTTTATTGCTTTGTGGCGTTTTGTTTACCCAATACTCAAATGTCCCAATCGATATATATATATAATTTACTTTTTATTTTTTCGTTGCCGTGATCTTATTATTTTTTATTTTTACTTAAATTTTAATTGATTTTTAATTTTAAGATTTATTAGTTAAGAATCAAATTTATTTCTTAAATTTTTATTTAAAAACCATGGTCAATGTTCAAATTACTTTCAAAGCACATAAAAATAAAAGAACTACTTCTTAATCAAATATTAATTTATTACATGTCCATGGTTTTTAAATTTCCATTTTTTATTATTGACTCAATATATTTTGTTTCTTAGACATTATAGTATTTATTTTTAAATTTAATTGTTTTATTTTTAAATTTTAAGATTTATTATTTGAGAATCAAATTTATTTCTTAAATTTTTATTCAAAAACCATGGTCAATGTTCCTATTTCTTCCAAAACGCCAAAAAATAAAAGAACTGCTTCTTAATCAAATATTAATTTATTACATGTCCATGGTTTTTAAATTTCCATTTTTTATTATTGACTCAATATATTTTGTTTCCTAGACATTATAGTATTTATTTTTAAATTTAATTGATTTATTTTTAAATTTTAAGATTTATTATTTGAGAATCAAATTTATTTCTTAAATTTTTATTCAAAAACCATGGTCAATGTTCCTATTTCTTCCAAAACACCAAAAAATAAAAGAACTGCTTCTTAAGTAAATATAATTTTTACATGTCCATGGTTTTTAAATTTTAAATTTTGTTTTTACTTATTGACTTCAATATTAATTGTTTCTGATTTAATCGGCTCCTTTGTGAGTCCATTCGGATAAAGTTTATATAATTATTTAGTTATTAAAAATTAAAAACAAAAATTTCTTCAAAGGTTGGAAATAAAATAGACGAATCAACAAAAAGAGAAGTTAGTTTTGAAACAGGCGAAGCATTGGCACAAAGATGGGGGTGTGGATTTGTTGAAACAAGTGCTAAATTGGGGCAAAATATAACTGAGTAAATATATATTTGGAGGGGGAGGAAGGGGGGTTGGAGGGGAGGGGGGGAATGGAAAGGGATTTAAATATATTTTTGGGGAATTATTTCTAATAAAAAATAAATTAAAAAAAAGATTATTTCAACGTTTACTTTCATTGGAAAAAAGGAGAAATTTAACATTAAATGCAACAGATTTAATAAATGAAAAAGGAGGAGAAGGAGGAGGAATTAATAATTTAATAAATTCTTCTTCTAAACAAAAACGTTGCGCCATAATTTAAATTATAAATAAATAAATCAGGGCTGGGCGAAATCTAAAAATAAAATTTGAAATCCGAAATGCGAAACTTTTCGCGCTAAAAAATGTGAAAAATGCGAAACTCTAAAAGCAAAATGGGAAGTTCACCCAGCCCTGATATAAATATTTACAGATATATTCTATTTAATAAAAAATAAATATTTTTTAACATTTTTAAAATTATTTAGTTTATTTTAGACATTAAAATAATTAATTAAAGATTTTTTTAAATTTAAAGTGTGTTTTGCTTTATAAAATATAAATTAATTTTATTTATTTTTTTGTTCTTTAATCTATTCTACTATACCTAAAATAAATAAATATATTCTTGCAACAAATTAAAAGCTTTAAAAATATATCCAACTGTTCACGTTAATATCATCAGATATTTTTTAATTTCTTTTCTTTTTAAAAAATATTTATTAGAACCTTGAAAATTTTAAATTTTTATTTAATATTTATTTTAAATAAATTTTTGTTATAAAATTAAAAAAAATTATTTATTAAAAGAAAATATCTACATACTTTTAAAATATCAGAACAATAGATCTTTGATTTTAAATAACTTGCAAAGATCTTTAATTTTATATAAATACCTACATACATATAAATATACCTACCTAATTGACATTTTTTAAAATAATTTTTATTTTATTTTCGATCAACTCTCGTGACTACATTACACAACCAGTCTGTGCTTGTCTCTCTCTCACTCTC